GCCTGAGGGCTCGCTTTTTACTCTGCCCGCTCGAGGGAGGGCTGGCGCATTGCCGGGCTCGGAACGAGCCTCAGCTTGTTCAGGATTCCCTGCCGCACGGCCCCCACTGGCGGCGCCCTTTCTTTGCGCGCCTGACCAACAGGCGCGAGACAGTTGGCGCTGCATGCGCGGGAATATGTCCATACAAAAGTACTGGGCATCATCATCCAACCGGAACGTCCTGGGCAGCTGGAGCCATGGCAGGCCATCAGGTCCCGGGGACAATGCAAAAAACTTTAGCCTCGCGAAGGCGGGCGTATCGTCCTGCATCGCTCGACGCACTCGGCGATCGAGCTCACGGGCCTCTTCACAAAAGCGTGCCCATAATTCCTCCCACGCTCCATAAACGGACGACGCCGGCCAAGCATGTCCGTGTTGTTCACCCAGGCGCAAGAGGTGGGCTGCGGCCTTCTCAAGGACCGGGTAATACTCTTCCCCGAACAGGCAAGCGAAGGCCCATGACTGTCGCAACGCAGCGCGAAACCAAGAAGTGAGAGTGTTTGGGTACCGCCCCCTTTTTTCCAGCTTGAGGTCCGGAGTTCCCCCGTAATTGTCAAAATCTTCCTCGGAAGTCAGTGGAAAGTCTCCGGCTGAAAGGCAGTACTCTGGCAGGGTATTCAAGGTTTTTCCCCCCAGTTGCAGAGCAGCGAACCCATAACTGTGCCTGTTTTGGATGTTGCACGGAAACTCAATTTTGCGTAGCTGAGGTCGGGCTTGAGTTCCTGCAATCCTTAATGCGTGAAATAGCTCTTTACCGACAACGCCCGGACACAGAGTAACACTCAAGGTGTCGCATCCTCGCAGCAAGAAGACGAGGCGCTCCTCGAGGCGCCCTATGGACGAGAGTTTTCCCCGATCTTGCGCGAGGGAATCCTCTTTGGAGGTCAGGCTTTTTGCTATCGCTTGAAGCGCCTTGGTGGTTTCGTCGGGAGCAGGCGCTTCCCCGTCAGTATATGCTCCGGCTCGGAAAGCTCGGGTGGCGTGCGCGAGGGCGTCTACTGCGTCAGTTCGACCGGCCGGGCCCATGCTTGGCGCGAGGGGTCTGAACAAGGATTGGGCCGGAAAACCAGTTCCAGGTCCAGCGTCAGTGAGAGGCTGTGTCCCACGGGCGCAAGAAGCTACCCCCGGGGCTGGACCAGCCCATGGGTCGGTTCTGCCAAGGGGCACTTCTCTGTGTTCAGTCGGGAGCTGCGCAAGCTCCCAGATAAGGCGCCGCGATTCCGCGGGAAGCTCTTGGGAGAGCTGGAGGCAGTGCTTCCGGGCTACTTCCTTTAGTCGCTGGGACCCTTCCGTGAGCGTCCACCTACCCGCCGATGCAGACTCGATGGCTTGTGCTTGGCTGCTACCCTGGAGTCTAGCCTCGAGATACTCGAAAAGTGCTTGGCCGAGATCGGGGTCCCCTTGTCTTTGTGGTTCCTTTCGTCCTATGCTGCCAGGGCCGGCAAAGGTAGAGACGGCAATGGTAGGGGCGGTTTGCTTTAACGCTATTGCCCATTTCCTCATCTCTTCCTCCGGGATACCCGCGATTTCTTCCCAGGTGAGGCCCTGCAAAACTTGGTCCTCGACGATAGCTTCATGAGGTAACTGCCCTTCCTCGGTGGAGGGCCCATCAAGGCGAGGCGGAGACGATATTCCCCTTAGTTCAGCAGCCTCCGCCTGGCTGCATCCTCGTTTCGGTGTCACGTCTTGAGAGTGTAGCCGGGCGCGATTCGCTCCACGGCTGGACGTTCGCCTCTTTCCTGGTTCCGGCAGGGCCCTGGAGCGGGAGGTCGACGTGCTCAATTTCCCGGGTGGACCCCTTTCCTCTTTGCTAGCGTGCATCTTACACAGCTTGACTCCTCCACGCACCGTTTGCGCCGCCCTTTCGCATCCCTCCACCGAACAAGCTCTTCGGGCCTTAGACAGGGCGTAACTTTCTTGATGGCGTGAACATAGCTGACAGCTGGCTTGCATCCCATCCCAATACAACTCTCCGTTGCTGCTGTGTGGGTTGTCGTCATTCAGGAGTTTCACCCACCCGCAGGCTGCATCCTTACAGCGTTCCTTGCTGAGCCGTTTAGTCTGCGCACCTTCTTTCCAGGCGACGACGTCGGCTTGGCAAGGATTGTCTTCTTCCTCCGACTCCGTTTCTGACAGGTCGTGGCGGGGGGTTCTTTCCTCTTCGCTGCCCGGGCGCGGACCGCGCCTCGGGGGCTTCGATCCGCAGCAACAACACCAGGAGGCGAACCAGCGACTACAGGCCACGTAGGAGCCCCACATTCCTACCACTCCTTGTAAAGCTACAAATTTTGAGGCATTGAAGGCGCGGCAAACTGGGCCTCTCCCGGCCAGCTCGTTTAGATCGACGTCGACGCTTTGTGGCACGACACTATTGGCCTGCACATGCACTTCAGCTGCCTCCGGTGAGCTACATGGGTCTGAGGAGCAAAGATGCACTAAATATTGAGCTTGTTCTAGGCACCTCCTCCAATATCGATGGGATGCTCCGTGTATGCTGTCGCAGCGGCAGAGGAATCCATGACGATTAGTGCGTCCCCGGATAGCTCCATGCCGTATCCTAGCGACGGCCACTCCATCTGTCACGAGGAGATCGTATGGCAGCTGCTGTTCTCCGCGTCCTCGTACTTGATCCTGAACGTAGTTGACGGACCAAGGTTGCTGCCCCTTAGGGCCCGTCCAGCGTACCTGGTATGGGTTCTCGCCATGCCCTCTTAGCACAGCATCCCATGATCCTCTTCCTGCGAGGTACTGCACCATAGCATAGAAAACCACGAACAGGGGGCGGACGACCCAAGTATAAGACCAATAGGTCAATTGTAGCGTCCCCAATAATATGGTGGCGGTGGCCAGCCAGTAGGTCCACCGGGCTGCTAGGCCTATGGAGGCACACAGGGTGCCGCACCAGGTCAGCCCTCCTTCCCAAATTTCCCACAGCGCCCCGGCAAGAAGCCGGAGGTACCATCGTTTGGAGTGGGCATCATCCGCTCGAGGTGTACTGGTTTTAGGATCAGTGGACCCTTCCCAGGTCCAGTCAAACCACCAGTAGTTCGCTCCCGGGCTCGGTGGCGAGCCACGGGGAAAGGATGACTCGGCTTCTTCTTTCGGACATGTTCCTGCTTTATCGCAGGTAATGTTACTTTCTTCCGCAGAAAAAGGCCATAGCCCGCACAAGGGGCGAAGGACAGAACATAACACAACTAGAGCGACCCTCATGGTCACCCCTGAGCCGAGAGCCTACCGAGGTGAAACACTACGCACGCAAGGCTAGGCTACCACTTTTCTCCCGAATATTTTTCCGGCATATGGTACGACTTGCCCCAATCATCGCGAATTGGTTCAGATAACCATTCAGAAAAACAATGATTATCTTATATAAGGATCTTCTATGAGCGACACGCTTTGGATTCAAACATATCAATTTCCATAATATTGGCTCGTCGGAACGCCTAGTATGAATTCAGATTCTCTCCTCTCTAATATTCTAGTCCTTGATTCTCTCTCCTTGCGATTTGGATTGAAATTCTGATCTCTGGAGGATATATGGTAGGAGGAGCTCGCACTCGCATGCACTACACCCTCCGCGACTCGATCTATGCGGTCGCGGAACGGGTTGGGATGCGGCCACGGCTTGAGATTGCGGGTCTTTTGCCAAATGCCGAGGGTAGACGCCCGACGGATGTTCTCTATAATATTCCATCTCATCTCCATAAAAATTCATGGTAGAAGTATCCTCGTTTGGATTTAAATATCGTTTTGATATCTCCATATACGATTTCTATGTTCAATTTGGTCGTATCGGGATCGGGTGGGACCGCCACGATATTTGTCGAATACAAGCGTCGGTATCACAATACGGAGATGGCCTGCCAGGTTCAGAATATGGATTTTGAATCGATTATTTTTGAAACAACTAGGGGTTGCGAGATGGGCGCGTGCGGACTCTTGAAGAATATGTAATAGGAATGAGATCGAATTACGAATCCTCCTTTGGAATCAATAAATCTTCGATTTTCGACCGATATTCAGAGGGCTTCTCTCATATCTTATATATATTTCATTCCTTTAGTAGTCTCGTGATATTTGATATGCCAGATTCGATCCCCCATAGATGGCGCCGACCCCTCCATAACGATGAAGAAGAAGGGAATGATCGTAGCGCCGCCGCGGAAATTTATTAGAGATATTCTCGAATTATCGATTGAAATATCAAGGTCATTATTCATAATATTTTAGGATGCACAATATTTAATTCGTATTTCTTCTGATGTGGAGCCTAAAGAAGAGATTCTAAAGATCGGTCCAATATTTCTGGGAATATAATCTTCTCAGAAAGATTACCATGTACCTTCCCAATCATTCATGATAGATATTTCTTCCTAGATATCATTTCTTAATTTTCATTCCAATTTTTTTAAATCTAATATCTCTTGAGACAAGATTTTCCTCGTATTTCGAAAATCCGAATCCTAAATCGTAAAGATTCCAGAGGGGATCCCAAATCCTAAATCCTAAATTCCAAAGGATCCAGAAATCTCAAGAATTTCATTAAGTTTCTAAAATCTTATAAATATATCCATTTTCATGAGAATTAGATAAATAAAGATTGCCCCCCCCCCATTTCATCTGAATAAATGAATGATATATAGATCAAAATATTTAATAATAATCAAATATTAATGGATCTCGAAATGAAATGATTATTATGAGCCCATCTCCGAAGAATAGAATCCTAAGATAAAATCTTTTCGATCAAATCATTAGATGATAATTAAATCTTAGATTCATCGATCTATCTATAAATATAATATAAGACCAAAACCAATCAAAGAATCTTAGAAATTCAGATCTCTATGAGAAATTCCTAAAAATCGATAATACGAGTGGCATATGCGTCCAAAAGCGCGAATTAAATCAAATCTCCAAAATATTTAAATATTTATTTCAATCCAATCGTCAATAAAAATAATAATGAAATGTATGAATCTATGAATACCCCTCAATTCTAATTTTATGAATATATATATATATATACTATATTAAATAAGTATACGGCAATAATATAATTAAAATAATTAAAAAATCTTTTTCGTAATCTATGAGATTAAACGTGTATTGATTCCAAATAAAATTCAAGATTTTTCGAATCCGATGATTCCGTTGATTTCAATAAGATTTTCAAATGAAATCAAAGCCCAGGCTCTTCTCGAGTTCTCCAGGCATTATTCCTGGTCGTTGGGCAGATGTGTGGAACCAGCGCTTGTCGTCATTGTGAGGCAAGCACTGCAAACATGAATGCCGCAGCAGGGATGGTTTCACTTACGTTCCACACCAACGCCACAGATCATGCACGTCATCTCATTTAAATACTTCGTGTCTGCAGCCTGCCTAAAGGGCATAAGTGCAGTTTCGACATGAGATGTTGAAAGATGCCTTGCAGGAGCTGGCCTCTGACATGTCTGAGAGGCTTGCAGCCTTGTGCGCAACATCTAAGCAACCATAGAAACCATAAACAACCGCATCCAGCAAAGAATACACTTCCGCAAGCAAAGGGGCGCAAGCATGCAAAGCTGCCAGAAAGGTCAGGAGCTTCCGTGGTCCTTCTGTACATGGGCTTGTTTAGCTGGAGCGGCTCAAATGAGCGGGACGACGATGCTAGTAACATCATCCTGAGTTGCTGGTCAGCCCGGCTCTGCCTCTACTGCACCTTCGACAGCTGCAGATTTGAGGAGCGGGCACGATATTGTCCACCTAGGCCAAGAATGCGTACAGCGCAAGCCGCAACTCGTCTCAAAGACACCAAGGGCCCAGCCAGTGAGCGATGCCCAACGCGTCAAAGCTTCCGACTGCAGCTTCGCCGTGTCGAAACTTTCCTTTGGGACAGCTTCGTCGCACCCAAAGTCCCCGCATATCGACACGAGGTTATGACGCCGACGGACTGCTTGAGCAGAGGTGTAATTTCGCATTTTGGATCGCAGACGTCCATAAGCGACGACCGTTTCGCATTTCGCGAGCCCAGACATCTAGAAGCGACGACTTCCAGCTCGGCGAGTGCCTCCACGAGCCAGCACAGCCGCGCAACGCCTTCGACCTTGCCCCTCTTTACCCTTCACATTGGAAGCCCCAGAGTATCTACACATTGCTTGGGTAATTATGAAACTCTGTAGATCTAGCTTACGAAACCTATGCTTGTAATTGGATGAAAAGGTTCGCAGACCAGCGCCGGCACTTCGTGGTCCTGCACGACCTCCCAAACACCTCGGATTTCCGCTGCACTGCGCACTGCGCACTAGCCGCCTCGATTGCACAGACAGATCAAGTTCACGGCCATCACTGGCAAGGACAATCGCGGCCTAGCGCACGCTACTACAGCTGGGCGCATGTCTACGGAAAAGGGTGAGGTCTGCCACGCCTGGCCCATGTCCATGCAGGTGTGGTGCACCTGTCAGCTGGCCCTGAACACCTCTGCCCTGTCACAACCGAAGCATACCGAAGCTCAAAGCGATTGGTCCGGCACGCCTGCGGCGTTGCAATGATACCGCAGCCCTTCGCGCTGTTGTCGCCCAGAGCCCTGGTCATCGCAAGGCCTGGCCGAATCTGGCCCGGGAAGAAGACGCGAGGCACGTCCTGGGCAGCAATGTTGCCGGGAGCCCTCACGCCATCTTCCTGACACATACTTATACTTGTACTATCTCGCGCTGATACTTCTGATAATTGGCATTGGCTTCTCGTCCCTGCGGAAACCCGAGATAAATACTCCCCGAAGACTCAGCCTATCCCAATCGACTTTCAGAAACTCGATGAGTACACTGCTTTGGCTACAGCTCCTTGCTGTCGTATGGTGCAGCCGTGGAGCATCCGAGCTCAGCGAGCGCACCTCGCCGCCGCTCTCCTCCACGCGTCGTCTTTCCTGACCAGTTGCACAGCCAACAGCTCGCACACAAGTCTGCACAGCAAGGGCAGCGAATCTACCGAGCCTGCACGCAGCTGGGCTTATGATCTTCTGTCGAGAAGATCACTTGCTGGTCCTCACTGCTAGCACTTACACCCTTGCCGCGCTAGATGGTCTGCCGTAGTGAGGATATACTCTCAACCAACCGCCATGCCACCTTCAAAAGGAGACAACGGCTGTCTCCAGTATGGGCAGTCCACACTTTGCGGCCCGTCCACAATGCTGCCACCGCCTGGATCTGTACTTGCTTTGCTCTTTTTGATCCAGTCGCTGGTTAATTGACAGGCATCGTCTTAGCACCAGCACTACTTTCCACTATCCAAGCGAATGTGCTAATGCGTACTCGAACTTGAACTGGCAGCCGATGCGCTGTGCAGCCACTCTCCGCATACGCCGCATGCTGCTGCAGGTCTTCGTCAGCCTGCAGCTAGGGGGATTGGGGTGGACCGGGGCTTCGGCCGGGGTGGAGTGGACGCAGGGGGTGCGGCCGCAGGGCCATCTCTGCGGCGGAAAGAAGCTCGTTTTGTTTCCCACGAATCGGATCTTTGAGGGGGGGGGGGGGGGGTGTGGAGGTTGAACAAGAGAAACGATGCCAAACCCAAGATTGCAACTATCAAGCAGCACTGTTGCAACCCTCGCACGGCCTTCTCGAAGGCACTGATCAACGCCTCACGGGCTGCTAAGAACGTCCAAGTCGGCTGGTGGGGCTATAACAGTTGACGACAAACTTCAAACACAAGCCCACGTAGATTAACTACGCGCTTTTACAGCAAGCTTGCTTGGGCAAAAACACCACAGGATGTTCAGGGAATGTTGTCGAGCGCATTGTAAGCTTCCGTGGCGTGCGCGGAGCCAAACGGTTTGCTTGCGAAGCCAGCCCTGGGAAACCACACTTGCACAAGTCGAGACATTACTCACACCAAAGCTTGGCAAAACTTGCGCGCGACAGAAACCTTCGCGGCTCAGACCTCAACCTCTACGTACCAGTCTTCACAATGCGTCGTACACAAACTCATTCATGGTATTTATCGTCGGCCTGTAGCTGTGTGGAGACTACAATTACAACCTTCCTCTAAGTTTCGCGTCGCCTCAAGCCCGCTCCCCAAGATCGGGAGGCCTTCTCCAGGATGGCCTCCTCCACCTGCTCCCCGTCAAGGGCGAGCTGCATGACAAAGAAAGGGATGGACTGGGCTGCTCTGGTGGCAGCCTGGTGGCCTCGAAGGGTGCAAGTGTCATTGAAAGCTGTAGCGTGACTCAAAGGCTGTGTTCTTTCACGTTCACTCGGCGATGACGGCGACGCCTTTCTTTCCGTGACCGTCGCAAATGACGGCCAGGGAGTATCCGTTGGACAACCGAGTGATTGAGAAGTTGTCCTGATTGGGCTCCGAGGCCTTCCCCTGCGAAGCGACAAACAAGGGAAACGGACACCGCACATTTAGCCTGGGCAAAGAAGAAGTATGCTTCAACATATTGAGCCGCACCTTGTCTCCCTTCCTTAGCAGGACGGCAACATGCACTCACACACACCACCGCACACCCATGCCTCACACTCAAGATGCATGCAACATACTGTAATATAATATAACATAATATAATATAATACAATATAGTAAAATACAATTTCATATAGTACAATATACTATAATAAAATACAATATAATGAAGCGTGACGCATCTTGATCTGCCTCCGAAGTTCTGGCAGGAGATCATGTCGGGCTGGAACGGGCCCGCGTCGCCGAATGCCGCCCACTCCCTCTCCTCGCCGGAGCGCTGGCCTTTGGACATGAGGCCCCGGACGAAGAAGAGCGCCTGCCAAATTCGGCTGCCTCGCACCCTCAGGCCGACTTCCTCTTGCCCCTCTACCCGGAGTCCCGGAGCCTGGGTAGAGAAAACCTCATCCAGGGCCTCTTGGGTGAGCGCCTGCGTTGAGAGCTGCGCAACGTCGCCAACAGCTAGTGGCCAGAAGAACAATTGCAGATTCTACACAGTCTCAGAGGCACCACAGGCAGGTAGAGAGCGGACAACTACAAGCAACAATGGTTTTGGATTTAAATCTTAGGGTTGAGATTTTAGGGTTTAGGCCGCACAGCAAACTTTAAAAGCACACACACACACTCTCACACACACCTACACCTTGAAAAAGAACCGGCCGGGCTTGACTCGGCATATGACTGGAATCCTCCAAGCAGGTGAAGATACTGTGTTGACCCGGTTGCAACTACACGTGCTGTCTAGACAAATCTTGACTCTGAGTATGAATCTGTGTTCACCTTGGATGGTATATTTTTCTTGAACTGAGACTCGCCTTTGCATTTGGCTCCGCGAGGGCCTTCTGGTCAGACCTCGTAGGACTGTGGAAGCTGGCCAAATCTAAACAGGAGGGGCAGCTACAGCTAGCTATCAAAGCCGATGTTTCTGCTAGCCACTACCAGGCTCCAGATTTCTCCCCAATCTCGCAGAAACACTAATCTCCCCAAGTAGACGCGGGCGAGAGCGCTTAAACAGACATCCATAACAACGAACAGCCCATGCAGTAGCCGCAGAATCGCATGTCAAAGCCATGCGAAGTCTGGAAGCCGACATGAATGCAAGACATTTCCTAAACGCGTTTGAAGTTTTTGCTCGGGACATTCCGGGCCGCTGTAGGAACGTTTGCGAAGTTTGCTCAGGGACATCTTCCTGGGAGATCTTTCCATGCAATCGAGCAACACGTGTACACACTACTCGTCGGCAGGCTTATTGGGTCGCATCCCACATCCGAGCCCTTCATGAGCTACGTTTCAGCATGCTACACTGGACCAGCCACTCCATTATACCATCAGAGTGGGATGTCATCCTCAAAACTTGGAGATAGCGGATTCTCGCACGCGTATGTCTTTACTAGCCCGATGTAAACGCTCCTAGGAGAAGCCGTGAGACTAAAGGATCTTGACAGATCGAGTTTCTGCAGTGGCCGGATGCACGGATTGGTAGTCGTCCTCAGGCAAAGATACTGGGTGGTATCTTGGAGGGACGGCTCTGCCAACGGCTTGATCCGCTTTGTTCAGAGAATGAGTGTCCCTAGAGCAGCCTCTGTGATGGTTGCGAGCAGAAATGATTTCCGCATGAGTGCTTTGTAAGTTCGCCCATGTGCAAGGCAGTGTGCTTTGCAAGTGAGCTGACTTTAGCTGTTACTGCCCATGCGGGTTCAACAGTGCCTGGCACAAGATCAGTCAAAGGGAGGATGCGGAAGCCCAGTTATCAATCCCCAAGGCAGGTGCTGCGTTTCACAAGCTATTTTTGCAGCGTGGGGTTTGCGAAAGTAAGCGCGGTCACAAGCGTCAGGATGCAAGAAGCATTGCAACTGCACCCAAACTACGTGCAACAAGAAGCTGGGCAGCGTGCACTGAAGCCGCTGCTTCTTTGAGATCTGGCCTGCGAGGCAAGTCTCCAAATGCACAAGAAGCCAAGCCCTTTGAGGAAGCAAACTCTCAACAAGAACACGCACAAGGTGCCCCAGAAACTTGACATGCAACCGTGAACAACACCAAAAATTAACATTGAGGCAACGGACGTTTCTGCTTCAGTGCTCACAGATGTCCGTGCTGTCCTCGGTCTTGCAAGGGGGGGGGGGTCCTTATCAAAACCCTCGATACAAGCCATGTGCAGCATGGAATGACAAGAAGTTCCAGTAGGCAGCGTGATCTAGAGCCCTTGCCTCTTTGAGGTCTGTACCCGGGGACAAGACTCCAAAAACTGTAACGGCCAGCCAACACCGCACAGCACCTTGAACACCCTGAAAGCCCAAACGTTAAGGCGGCAGACTTTTCTGCTTCGTCGGTGGTACTTTTGCTTGCTGTCCTGAGTCGGTAAACGCTTTGCTGCAAATACAAGCTGCAAAACAAAAAGCTGAGCAGCGAGCTCTGAAGCCAGTGCCTCTTTGAGGTCAGGCCTCAGCCGGACTCCATCCTCCCTACTAGAGACTGTAAGGAGTGCACAGCACAGCACAGCACCTTGAACACCCTGCCGAAAATGCCGAACAAACCCAAACATTCAGGCCACAGACTTCTCTGATTCGCCGGTGGTGCCTTTGCACGCTGTCCTGAGTCAGGGGGACCGCCCCGAGCGCCTTATACGCAAGTTCAAGAACAAGAAGCTGGGCAGCGCGCTCCGAAGCCAGTGCCTCTTTGAGGCCTGGCCTCAGAGAAAGGGTTCCCACAGCGGAGTGAGCTCAACAAGATGACTGTCCACACAAGAAAATGCGAGGGATGAGGGGGAGCACTGGACAAGTGGACAAGAGCACGTCTCCGGGCTAAGAAGGCTCCTGCAACGCCGAGATCCCCGCGGCTGTGGAGGCGCAGGTCGCCGGAGCAGCACGACGTTCTCCACGCTCCGGGCAGGGAGGGCGGTGTTTGACGATGCCTTCACAAAAGGCTGGAAGAGACTGGATCAACCGGGCGCCCCTTTTTTCGAGCACGAACTGCTGTGACTTGGACCACCTCACACTTCAATCGCCCGACTTCGATCGCCTGCCTCGAAGCTGGGCTTCTCCCGCCCAAGGCAGCAAATGTTTCCCATGGCGTGGCGAAGAGAGGTGATGGGCCGTGTCAAAGCTTAACCTCGGAGCGCGGAAGCCTGAGGCATCACGCCGCAGTCATGACCCGGCCATGAGTCGAACACAATGAGCCGAGATCGTCAACGCCCAGACAACACTCCAAAGCAATGATCCACCAGGAAACCTGTGACGGAGTCAGTTGGTAAGGGGTGAAACATGGTGGTTGTACAGGCTGTCACGGAATCAATACATAAAGGACTGTCGTGGCGTGTTTTCAGATTTAAAGTACCGGATAGCGTGCTAGCACGCTGGGAATTCCTTGTCCAAGCTGCTATCATCGCATGTGCCGCTACCATGGTATCTTCGGCGGCCGCTTCACAGCATGCAGCTCACATCAAGAACGAAGCAAACACTATGCGAGTATGCCAACGTGTACAAGATTTGCAGGCCATCCTTGACGTTACAGTCACATTGCAAGTGCAGTATTATGTGCTGGCTCGTATTGCTGCACACGACATATAGCAACAAAGATTGTGAGAAGACACTCACAAAAAGCAATCTTTGACAAGGCATTCCTTCAAGGCTCAGACGGCTCAGATGGAGCGCATCCTTCTCATTCTAAAATCAGAGCGCCGCACATCGTATGATTCAGGATTAGACTCTAAGCATGTGCAAGTTGAAAAGGACTGGGAGCTCTGCCGAGGATACCTCTTTCTGGATAGAAATCCTTCCAAAGAGTCATCTTATTGGGCACTTTCTACTTCTTATGAGAGTAATTGCTTTTCCGATATGCAACATTGTACAGCTTGCGAAATACAATGGCAGCATGCAAAAAACATTATCGCAGAAAGCAGACAATTGAAGCATTTTTTAGTTTCCTACGAGAAATTCTAGGTACATTAACAAAATCAAGGTATTCAGAACAAAAGAGCTTACAATATGTTAATAAACAAAGAAAAATAGCAAATTTCATACTTCCGCCTGAAATCCAGAGAATGAATGGAGTAGGCACGGACGAATCATAAATGATTAGTTTCTTGATGCAACTGTATAATCACTACCGCACTTACATGTTATAATCTCTCTTGATTACAGTGGGTCATCTGTTCCATATCCACGGCAATGTTAGCAATAAATACTTGTGTCTCTATGTATATATGACAGATGACTTAACTGCTGATACATAAGAAATTCATTCAACTAACGTATAGATCCAGCAAACAGGCCCTAAATACCAGCAATCGCATTTTGAATACTTTGGTAGGTGTATCATGTGAATTACACATATATATATATATATACATACACACAAACATATTTAGTTCTGTATTTACCTATTTATTTGTTCCCCACCTTCGGTGTGGGGTTGTTAAATTTGTTAAACTCAACTCTTCTCCTCGCCCGGAACTCTTCTCCTCGCCCGGTCTACTCCTAGAGACTCCCTGGAGTGCCCAACCCCAGAGACTCCCTGAAGGTGGGGATGTTCGAAGTAAAGTCATCCCTTTATTTCTTCATTGATTTATACATATACATATACATATACATATACATATACATATACATATAACTATAACTATATACATATACATATACGTATACATATACATATACACATACATATACATATATATGAGTGGTCGTGCCATTGTATCTTGCCAAATTCTCGAAAGAAGAGATCTCATCCAACCGACACATTTCATCTGCTCCGCCCAGCTGATCATACTAAATGCACGTTATCCATCAGGAGCACGCCGCTCCAGTGCTGCAAGTCGCCTCCGCCGGAGCTCCTCCACAGACACAGCGGGTGCAGCCGGAGGAGGAGCTCCGCGCAAGCTGAAGCCTGCGACCACAAGGGCAAGGACAGTCCAGAAGAGGATGGCGGAGTTGTCAATCAATATGTCAAAGTACACGTCCCAGGCCGACGGTGTGGGTCCGCGGGTGTCGAAAACCAGCACAGCAAATGCCGGCAAATCCAGCGAAGCGACACGACCTCGAACCAGCTGAATTTGTCGCGGCCTCTGGTCAGAGAATGGGGTGTTCAACACCAATGGCCCCTTAACATCACCTGGAAGTGAGAACGCCTTCACAGGATCAATGTAAGCGGACTGCCTGCGCGGAGACGGGTTTCTCAAAGTCAGAACTGCGGAACTCTCCGCAGCGCTTCCATACCAAGCAGCCCAACCATAAACTTCACCCTTCGCAGGGTCTCCTCCAAACCACTGCACATCAGCAAGAGTCTGTGTTCTACCACCAGCCCATTTAGCTGCTTCTGCAATGTCATCCCAGTTCTCACGGTTCAGCAGACTAGGGGTCACGTAGAGCTCTTGAAGCATCACGCCCGAACCAAAGGCAGACCTCACCTCGTGCTTGAAAGGCTCATTGGACATTCCCGTTCCTGATCCCTCTAACTGGTTAAGATCCCAGGCATCCTTTGCAAAGATGATGCCATGGACCATCAGCGAACTGAGAGGAAACAAAGGCGACTGTGTCACAACATTTGCGTAGACCATGGCATCACGATAAGTAATCCATCGCTCCCGCGCTGGTCCACTGCCTTCGAAGTAGTGGTCGTGTCCCCTGCGCCAGACAGTATCTGAGTACAGGAGCCAGAAAGGTGAGGGCCAAGTGCCAGTTGACAGATTGATGAAGACGTCGCTGCTGATCTTGCGCAGCTCCGCTATGAGGCTTACAGCCGCATCGAAATCCTCCTCCAGAGTGTGGTCAAGACCAGCCGGGTTGCCGATGCCATCGAGTTTCAACAGCCTGGCTCCCCCACGTAACCATGTCCAAATCTTGTCTCGCAAGTGCGTGTAATACTCCCTTATCCCCAATCCAAGAAAGGCAGAGCGAACCCCAGGGTCGAAGCACACTCGAATGTCAGAGTCTGAGATGCCGGAGAGGTCCACCCCTGGTGGGCTGACAGCGAAGCTGGTGTGCCAGCACTCAAGCTGCCCTCGGCAGTCCTCAGTTGAGGTTGTGAGAACTTCCCTTGTCGCAGAAGGAACCTCCTCTCCTAACTATTACTGTTAAACTGCTTCTAGAAGAACCCCTCAGCCTTATCAAAGGCTCCTGATTCGTGCTGCATCTGCCCTCACCTTCATCGCAAGGTGCTGCCTGCGTGCATCCACCTGCAGGCAAGCATCAAGCGTATGTGCTGTATGACGTCCTACTAGCCGCCAACGACACGGCTTCAGGATGTTTCAGGCGGGGTAAGGGTGGGGTGTGGACCCTCACCGGCACCATTCTCCAGAACTGGCAACGAAAAAGAACGTGCGAGGCCTACCCGAATCAAGAACTCCGAGCCCAGCAGAACATGCATCTCCCGAGTCTAGTGAGTCGCCCCACCTCTGCGCAGAACTGCCGGCTTGCGCTCGCGAGTCTCCTCCCTCACGGGCAGACCCGCTTTCCTGGCAGCAAGGATACGCCGCTGCCTGGCGATGAATTAAGGCGAGTGGGGGGATGTAGGGGGTTGGCCGTTTGTGTCTTAGGGGTTGGCACCAAGATAACTAGAGTCACAGATGATGGATTGCCAGCGCCTTGCTTCATGATAGCCACCAAAGGGTGAGAACCACAGCCCAAGCGATGTCTTCCAGTGCAGAGCACGATCCTCCAGGCGTTTCAAGTCATGAAATCCAGCATGTACATCCCATGGTCCACTGTCTGGGTCATCCCAGCCGTCATCCAGCAGAAAAGAGTCCAGAACCACCCCTCTTCCAGATAGCTCCCTAGCGATGTGATCCAGTCGGTTTATTGCCTGCTTGGCATCGAACTGCTGTCCTGTTCCAATGTCATACCAGCTGTTGTAGTGCAGCATTTTTCTGGAGGGATGCGCACGCTCCCGTTCTAAATAATATTGAAAAGATCTCCGTATTTGGCCGGGCACCGTGACTCCCAGAACCAAAGCCGCATGAGGGCCATGCTCCGCAATCTTGGCAGCATGCTGCTTGAGACAGCATCGGTACTCTCCACCCTTGGCTGAATTCAGCGCCTGCGGGTGCTCCAGCCCGAAGAAGAAGTCCTCTGAAACGATCGGGACCCCATCAACCTTTCCTGCAGCCGAGCTGCCCTTCAAGTTGCCAGAGAGCAAACACAGCTCCGCCTCCGCCGCCTCCGCCGCCTCCGCTGCTTCCGCTGCCTCCTCCGCCTCCGCAAGCCCTTTGCCCTCTTCAGCCTCTTCGGCCTCTTCAGCTCCCTCTGATGTGACCTGGTTTAGTTGGGCCGCAAGCTTCAAGTAGTTGGAGCCGTCTCGGAGCTCCGCCGACCACACCGCCGTCCAGTGCGACGCTCCGCGCCGGAGCTCCATCATGGCAACGACGCTCCACCCAGACATGGTCAGACTCATCTGTGATGCGTTCGCCTGCGGTTCAATCCGGCTCAGCTTCATCTCGACCACCCGGAGGTGAGCCGCTGCATCAGCCTGCCCCGGGAGCCTGGCCAAGAGAACATCTGCGGGAGGCAGCTCTCGTCCGGATAGCTTGTTCGTCAGTTGGATGCGCTGCAGGACTCCAGCGCGGGAGGTGATCCGCGCCTCCAAGACTGCATTGTGCAGGCTGAAACTCCATGCCTCCGGGGAAGTGGACAACTCGGAGCCTTCGGCCGCACCAGGCTGCAGAAGAGCGAATCCAACTCCGATGCAGTTCGAGGCCAAGCACACACAGCCGATTTGCCACACAGCTCTCGGCACCACACGAGGCTGCACCCGGAACATCCAGGCTTCAGCATCGAATGCCCGGCGGACGGGCTTGCGCAAGCTAGTCTTCGGGGGTAGGGGCGTTGAAGAACCTGAAGAACCTCGGAACAAGCCTAGTTGGATCATTTTGGGTGAGCCCTCAGCTTGTCCAAAGTAACCTTCGATGTCAACCTCACAATTTGAGGTGTGTGGTAGTTGAGCCATGGTCTCGGGCAAACCTCATGCGAAGTTCGAAAGAACTGAGGCCCTTGCCTGCATATCACAGAATGCCCGATTGCCAGTTGCTTTGTTTGCTTTTCAGCGGGCGGTTGTGTGGTGTCTTCCATCTTTCCGCCTCACTACATCGCCCGGTGTGGTACCACCTCAGGTGGGTCATGGGAACCGGTGCTTTATCCACGAGCTCCTGAAGATGTTATAAGAAAGCTCTTGCCCTTGAGAGACCAGTCTGAGGACCACTCGAAAAGAACTCTGCCCCAAACCTGAGGCTCAGTTCACAAGGGCAAGGCTGGCAAAAAGAAGAGTCTGGATCTGGCATCTCCCTTCCCAAAAAAACCAAAGATTTCTCAGCTGGCAGCTTCCCGCTTGCTACTGGCCACTGTCCACTCTGTTCGCACGAGCTGACAACGGCCTCCACTGCAGAGATGCGGTGCCAAGCCCAAGAAGCTGTTAACTGAGGTTCTGAGTAGAGGACATTGAAGGTATTGGAGTTGTGCTCAAGCCTGCGACCGCGCATCTCTTCAAACCAGCCTACAGAGGCAGCAGATCAGCCAGCAAATGGACTCCGGGAGCTGGAGAAAGATGTCTTCAACTCGTAACTCCACCATTTTTTCAAAACGAGCCTAGGGCTCGCTGCCACTGCAGGCTCTTCTCGCAGGACATAATGCAGGCATGGTAGGTGATGGCATCGCGGCGCAACTCAGCCAGGGGAGTGTGCATTCGCGAGGGCATGGTGACCCCTGGGCTGCTGAGCTTTGATCAGCTAGCACCGCAGCTTCTGTCTAGGACACAGCAGCATCTATTCTTCCACAGGAAGAGTAAAGTACTCAGGAGTCTTGCTGCAGAAGACTGAGCATCAGCACCTGACCGCGATTCATATCCTCCAGCAAGTGGAGGACATGCTGCCACTGGCCAGCTTCATCACACGCTGCCTTCGGGATGTGGCACAATCACCATGCACGTGACGGGTGGCCCTGTGTAGTAAAGCCGAGCCACGATGCAGGCATTGTAGGTGATGGAACATCTGTCGACCTTTGAATGTTCCACTTTTCCAACCGGCAGTGACACTTGCATCGTGAACAGTCAGGAACAGCGACTAAGCAGCGGGCATTGTGGTGCTCCATCTGTGACACTATCGTCAGCGCGAGTTCCCACTCATGTCCTTTTTCGCAAGCACCTTGAGCGCATGCATGAAACCACGAGGCCACACGACACTTGGAGGCTGAGCACCGCGCTCACAGTCGCATTGTAGGTAATCGGTGTCTTTTGTATGTTCATATCTGACAGCAGGGAAGCTCCAGGAAAGCTGGTTGGAGTACACAATCGAAGAAGAGCGCACCCTCCATCTCGCTGAAGAGCGCCAGAGCATGTTGCCATTGGCCGGCTTTCTCGCATGCACTGGCAAGATCTTGGCACGTATGGAGGTCAAGCCGTCAACTCACGAAATGTACCCCTGAAACATTCTACTGCCCCACAAGCATGCCTGATGCAGGCATTGTACACGATGCATTCTTTGTCCAAGGTCTTGCGTGCCAGGAGAGGGCGGGTCAAAGTCGCCAGCCATCTCCCAGCCTTCACATGGCTCTAGTGTGATCCTGTCTCCACGCACACGACATCAAAGAAGCAAGAGAATAAAAGTTTTGACCCCTGCTGCCTTCGGCTTGTACGCCAGATGCATGGTCTACTGAGTCGTGTACCTGCCCGGTGCAGTAGCCCCAAAAAAAAGTCATCCCAAGATTTCCGAAGGGGGGGGTCAAGCCTGGCGGATCTCTGCATCTGTACCCCAAAGGATGTGAAGGCACAGCTTGCGGCGGCTTAGCCATTGCGCAGAGGACGGGGCACTCTTGCAGAGGATGCTACAACTTTCAATTTCCTCAAGAAAGCTCAGTCTGGAGCTACATTCCCGGTGCAGGAAGCTATTTCACTCACCGAAGGTTACTCTCGAAGCTGCTGATGCCGAGCCACTCTTGTGAAAGCTGTGGCGAGGCAATGAAAGGCCAGAGCTTGCTCAAGGCAGCATGCCCACACTTTTATGTGCCACGGCTCTTCAGTCGAGCGTCACCCCTCCGTTCACCTGGCGGAAATCAGCCATCATACATCAGTCATCAAAGGCAAAGGCCGGACAGAGCAAGGATGGAGGGGCCCCAAACTTGAAAGTGAGGTGCTGAGGGCCAGGCAGACAGAGCCGAGGTCAATTCGAGCTGGGCTGTCGTCGCGATCAGTTCCAAGATGTCGGCCAACGGCACTCGGCCTGTGTCCAAATCGATACCATTAAGTTTAGGATCGAAGGATAGCCATGATCGCCAAAGACGAAGTTGCCTCGTTCGCAGGCTGTGACAGCGTAGCTCAAGGATACGACATCCTCCAAGCGTGGCTGACAAGGCAAGCTGCCGGCGTGCTTTCTCAACATGACAAAGCAGAGCAATCTCAAGCATGCGGCGTTCATCACGCTACAGCCTACAAGGACACCTGCAAGCAAAGCGCTTGCCTTCCTGCGGCCCAGCAAAGCACTGCTATGCTTGTGCCTTGGCGACCATAGCCCTCGTCATCTCTTCCACGACACTCAGCGCAGCCTGCCCACAGTTTGCAGAGAAGGATTCTAAAAATCCAAAGATACCGATCTCTTCTTTGAAGAACTGACAACCGTCAAACGAAATGCAGGCCCCAAGCCGCTGCAGACTGTTTTGCACCCTCTTGAACATCAGCCTCCGACTTGGACGTCCTTTGCTCTTCCCGCTTGTTCGCAGCTTCTGCGTTCTTTCCCTTCGATTGCGGCGATGGCCTTGGGTTTCTTGGCATTTCCTTCTTTGAAAGCTGTGGGCCCATCGACGGACGCTTGATCTGTCCAACTCTCCAGAGGGACCTTTCTGCCTTCTTTGAATCAGAGCACCTCATCTCACCTCCACATACTTGCCCATGCGCACTCTTGCAAGCAGCTGAAGGTGCTGCGGGTCAGTCTTCCAACACTTGTGTATTATATGGGCATAGCTTGCACATCCGTGCCATGAATCACATGTATAATGCAATGCAGAATGTTGCCGAACTAGCCCAAAGTGCGACCAACCGGAAGAGGCCTGCCAATTCCGCTGGCAAGCTGCCACTGAAGATGAAAAAGAAAGTGCGTCCTCTATGTCCAAGCATCGCAAGCGGCAGCAAGCTTGAGCACAACACTTGGTTACTCATGTGTGTGTGTGTGTGTGTGGCACAGATGCAGTGCTGCTCGTGTCACCCATCTCACGATTTCTGCTCAGCTCACACCATGAATGACGATGCAACTACATGCATTAGCTGCCGGCACTCGCTCCTGCTGAACCTGCACTGCTCGAAGATCTCGTAAAAACTCCAGCCTGAGCAGCATGGCTTCGTGGCGCCACCCCTCTTAATTGGCCGTTCGATTCGGTTCTGGCAAAAACGCCTTCTCGAGATTCAAAGAGCAACTCCCGGGAGTTCGAGGCTCTCACGCTGTGGACCAGCATAATCCGTCGGAGGCGGCTGTGACAGCACAGTTGTGTATGAGATCACCTCGCAATTGGAGAACACGGAGCACTAACATGATCTAGCATGCCCACGAAGGATTCATTTGCATTCGATAGTCTGGTGTGGCAGTCATCCGCCCCGCTGACAGATCTGAGCTGACACTTTAGAGTCTAAAGCGCATGCCATGCTGAGATAAGCCGGCAAGGTTACATCAGCCTGAACCTGATTCAAGACAACATCGTAACATGGTGGTTTTTAACTTGGGAAACTTCATGCTCTCGAACACTCCAGCTGGACTCCATGTTCTGTTTCCGACTCGCTTCCCGGGAGTCTGGAACCTAGCAGGAGGGAAGGAACCTGAATATGTTCCGGCTGAGTTTTTGTTTTTTACCGACACTTACTTCTAAGACTCACGAGCGTCGAAGTGGCTGAGCTAGCGACATATCTGAGGATCGATGAAGAGAGAGAGAAAGAGAGAGAGAGAGAGAGAGAGAGAGAGAGCGAGATGGAGAGAACAAGAATCAGACTGGGGAAAGGAAGTCAGAAATCCAAACAGCATTCGCTTGTCGCTGCCCGAAAGGCCTTTTGCCGGGATCGAGCGCAGCAGAAATGAGGGTTGCCCAGTTGCCCATACATGATTGGGATGGTTTAATCTCATACTGCCAACCAAACCATGTTCCGGCTGAAGGTTGGCGCTCATTTATTCTTCCTGAGACATTCCCTGGTCTACAAGATATTGAAGAAGGCAGTTTGAAAACTTGGGGCAGCAAAGATGATACTGCGGGACTCCTCAGGCACGGACTCCTTCTCAGCTGGAGTTGATGCAGCTCCTTTCAAGGGGCCATTTGGGGCTTGACGAAATTCGGGGTACCTTCTTGGGGTCCTCATTATAAGGGGATCCTGCTTTTTGTTTGGGGGGGGGGATTATAGAAGGTCCCCTATTTTCGGAAACTCCCGTTTAACGCCAGCCACCCCAGGTTCTGCCCGGGCCCATGCTGCCACAGGAGCTCGCTCGAGAGATCGCGAAGTTCAATCTCCTAGATTTAAGACGTTCTTGTCAATGGAAATGCTTGGAAACCCAAAATGAATTTTTTAGGAGATGAATACGAATAAAATACGAAATGATGGAAAAAAATACAAATGGAGATTTCAAAATTATACAAAAAATACGCAAAAAATAGGAACGGAAATTAGGAAAAAATAGGGAAAACATAGGACGAAAAATACGGAATTTACAGCCTGGAAGTCCTGACATTCGAGAATTGCTGCAAAAAATACGAAACTCTATTTTTTCCATACTTTTCTCTATTTTTTTCGTATTTCTGTTTTGTGTTTTTTCCTACTTATTTCATAGTTTTTTGCTATTTTTGAAAATCAGTTTTGTATCTAATTTCGGCAATTCGTATTTCCAATTCCTAATTTGTTCCTATTCTTTCCGTAAATTAATTATTTTATGTTGTCTGTGCCTTTCCATTACAGGAACCTCTTAATCCTAGATTATCTTCATGTCGCTCGATGGCCGACGTCCTTCCTAAAATGCCAATATTTCAGAACCTGAGCCCTGCCGAAATTGGTTGAACCTTGCGCTCCTTGAAAAGTCGGAGCACACGGCTCCACTCGGACCATTCTTCACAGGCTCCAATCGCAGCTCCGAGGGTCAAAAAGCTGGGGACCTGCTGTCATTGTCATGCACAGCCCTCTGGAAGACATACCGAGCTACTAGGGAAGAACTCAGGAAACTGCATAAAGCACGATTCAGCCAGCCGTCGAGGCAAAGTAAAAGCCAGGCCACGAGCCGGCTTGACTCCATCTGACACAGCAGGCCTGCAGAGCGCCGCTTCGATCTTGAGGGGAAGGGAACTTTGGGAGGTTGAGGTTCACCCTAAACCCCTAAACCCTAAACCCTGAACCCTAAACCCTAAACCCGGAGCTCCCTTGTGAAAAGGGGCACCCTTGGGCCTGCGGACAGCTCCCACTGCCCCTGGCTTGCAGCGATGGCCGTGTTGAGGATGACGGTGTTGTGCCGGAGGGATGATCCAGCAGACCAGCGCCTCGGTCAAGCCAGCACAAGCCCGGCCTGAAAGGGGCCCTATGTGCAGCTGGGGCACAATAAGTCCATGGACGAACGCCATAGTCCACAAGCTTGGCATCCGCTCAAGGCTGCCCCTCAGACTGCCAGCATGAACTCATGCCACTTTCGCCGTCTACTATGAAGATTTTGGTACAACCATCAATAAGCCAAAAGGGATACGGCACAGAGAGGCAAGGCACCAAGCGTCACGATGTCTCCTGAGATGGACTGCAGCGGCGCTGCCCAGGACAAGTCGAGAGCTGCGTCCCACTTCGCAGCCTTCTCGCAGGCGCTCACGGCGGCCTCTCCAGGTCGGGAAAACAAGAGGCAGCAGGCAAAGAAAGTACACGAGATGGCAGAGGTTTGCACCGAAAACAAGGCATGACAAGGCCTGGGGCCCAGGGTTTAGGGTTACAGGCAAGGGTTGGAGGATGTTGCCGGCAAGGATCGTTGAAGGAGACCAGGCTCCGTTGAATGCCGCAGGCTGCGACCCGTCCAAGAAGATCCAACGCTGGCAGCCAACAAGCAGCCTTCTCACCGGAGCTAATGACCGAATTGAAGGAGATTGTGTCCAAGATCGTCGAAGACTGGCATGCTCGCCTTAATGAACCAGGCACAACGTTTTTCCGCGCTTGTCAGCATCAAGCTGTGTTCTTCGAATGACTCCAGAGATTTGATGAGCAAGAATACAGTTGATGCAAAACAAAAAAGAAATCTACAGCTCCCTTATGTCAGTAACCGCAACTTTCACAAAGACAGGACATTGACTGGACTGCGAAGGCCACACAGATGTTCAATGTTGTCTTTGTCATCATGCACTGCTGCCAGCCAGTTGCTGCAGTGACTGTAGAGCTGCGATCCAGTGCCCAGTCTGCTCATACGCGGCAGACATTGCGTTGGAGATGACACCGTTCAGCCGGACCTTTGGAGACCGGGGAAAACTCTGAAATGGGAAGACAGCAGCTGAAGCAAGAGAAACATCAGAGTCACCCCTACGAGTACCCACCAGGGAGCAAGCCTGTTGCTTTTGCATCCCATCGAAGATTGCTAGTGCCTCCTTCCAGACGACACTGCAGGCGCTGACAAGGGATCCTGAAATAACCGCATTCGCTGAAAGGGCGGTGTGCGCCATCTTGCCCACGAGCCACAGAGCCGAAGACCACTGTAGTGCTTGCTGGCAGGAGCTGATGGTACTTCCGTAGTTAACCACATCTGGGAAGAGTAGATACTTCTGCATCTTAGCTGCCAACCCAAATGCAAGCCTCCATCTGTAGCCTATGGCAGTGGTTGCGGTGCTGAAGGTGATGGAATCCAGACTTATGCCAACTCTGTCCATCCATGGTGCCAGGCAGCAAGCTACCTCCCAAGCGGTTGCTCTGCCTGAGGCCTTCAGTGCAATGCTGAAGCTGCGTTGGTCGTGCCGTACACCTGAAGCGTGAGCCATGCTCAACACTGATACCGCCAACTCCCAATCACTTGCACCCACGCTCTCCTTCAGCAGAGCTATGGCTTGCACGTGGGGTGACCTGCTGAACTGTTTCGGATGCTTTGCATGCTTCAACAGCCCTGCAGCGCACGCCATGTGATGGGGGGCGCAATACCAGCGACTACCAACGAATTCTGCGAAGTCCTGCGAGCCGATGCTGCGAGCGCCGCGAGCTCGAGACGAGGGGAATCTCAGCCCTGCCTATGACTCAACTTTGGAGAAGAGGCAGAAATGACACGCAACGATTTCCTGTTGAGATGTCATTCGGAGATCGTGGTGAGACGTGTACTAGCCGTACAAGTGCAGCGATGCAAGGATACGTCCGGGGCCAGAAAGGCTCTTCTCAGGGATCCATGCAACCGAAGCTTTGAATCACAAAGCACTGCAAGAGGAAGCGCCACGTCAGAGTTTGACAGCGCTTACTCAAAGTATTGGAACTTGGCAAAGATCAGCACTAGTTTGCCTCAGAGCAACACATGAAACTCGTGAAACAGGGAAGGTGCCGCTAAGTTCAGGGCGCTGCTAAGCAAGAATGGGCATGAATGGGCCAAGCCACCAGTCTCACGGCCAAGAGCTTCTCCTTCCTGCAAGGCTCCCCCACATGGGATCGGGAACTCGCAAGCACGCTCGAACATTTCTCACATTTCTGGCGCGGGCAGCAACATGTGAAGCTCCCTTGTTGGGGCAATTTGGGCAACTCAGTAGCCATGTGCGCAAGCCAGACAATCTACCACATGCTGATGGATGCTGATGGCTAGGCTGATAAATTTCCCCCAAGCTCGGAAGCAGCACTTGCCATTTCCCTGTCCTCAGGAGTGGTAGGTGTTCTACCATTGATGGATATCAGTCTGTCGTAGATGCCGACCACAGAATCACATGCGCAGCTCTGGTTCCAATCCTTGTTGACATGCAATGCCCGCACCTCCTCGTAATGCCCTTAACACCAAACCCGAACTCAACATTACACACCCATACACACCCCCATGATTCTGCAGCCTCCCTCTGCATCCTACCTGAATGAACCAAATCTCGTGAATGAGGCTGTGTCGACGGACTTTCAGCACACGGCACTTCCGCCCTGCAAAGGAAAGCTCAAGGCCCAGATCCTCGTGTCCCTCACCTTTCCGCTCGAGGGTGACAGCATAAGGAGCAGCCATTTCCTGAGGCTTGTCCACTGCTGGAATGTATTAGGTCTACGTACTCCAAAGGCTCCGGTGACGAAAGAGAACAAGGCCCTATTCAGCCTATTCAGCACACGTGGGTCCCCCAGTTCATCCCAGTCCTGTCCGAGTACATCACCCGAACCTCCGAGCTCCGTGGGTAAATCCTTGAACTTGGCCAGGCCATCCTTCACGGACCTTGGTCCAAAAAGACGCAGATACTACGGCTTGGCAGCAACAGCTCTAAAAACCTCGATGTGCATCTGCCGGACCCTCATGTGCAAGTGCTTGCGCTGCTTTTGTGGAATGCTGGACAACCAGACATCCTCCGCAGCATACTTGCAGGACAGGCACAGTATACGCTGTCCATAGTTCCAGTGAGCTTGCACGCGAGGCGGCGAATGCAGTATGCCACCGCAAACTTCCAGAAAGCCCGGCGCCGCTGCAGAGTGCCTTGAAGTTATACACGCCAAGCACCTGGCGCAGTTTCTGTGGCCATGGCGAGTTGAGATCAGTTCACCAGAAATCTGGACCAAGTCTTCATCGAAGACCACGGCAAAGTGGCCGCTGCTGCCAGTCCAAGACCGACAAACCAGGCAGTGGCAGAAGGCTGTCGTCTTGGGCTCTCCAGAGATTGACACGAAGACGGAACCACAGAGACAACTCCCGTGGAAAGCCTGCGTCACATCGCGATGCAGGTCCCAAGACGAAGCCTGGACGCCAGACCCACCGAGAGAAGCCGGAAAGTCCACGAACTTCGGCACATCATCACCGAAGTCGATCATCGGCGTCACATAAAAGAAGTGGGCATTCAGAGACAGCTGACTTGCAGACCCAACGCAGACCTCGATCAGACCGGCTCGCGGGAGGCTGGTGAGTATGTGCGAATGGCACTCGGCGCAGCTCTTCCGGACCCTGAGAGAAGATTCATCAAAAAGAGACCAAAACAGACTTTTGTTTGGGGTGGGCACTGTTGACTAGGATATCGGAGTATAGTACAACGCGCGTGCTTCTAACAAAACAGATTGCAGGGTTCGAGTTCCGCCTGGATGACGTACCGAACTCTGCAAGCTCCCCACTGCAAAGCACATCCTCTCTATGGTACCAGACTGCCATCTGCCCAACGCTTCCTGTCCACTTTCGGCAGTCCTGCGGCAAACGGGATGCAATGGCATGTACAACGTAAAAAGACATGTAAAACATCAAAATACGTCGCTTGGGCCTAAACCGCAAAGAACATCAAAAAAAAACATCTCAAAGAAAGGTCTTGGCAGTGGCAGAGCGTGGTCTTCAACGGTTCGCCGAGGATCATAACGCGGACGACACCACAGAGACAGGAACATCCTGGTTCACAGCACAGATGACAAGCACACGTTCAGAGCTCTTGAGGAGAGCTCGGCTGGATTCTGGGATTCCCTGACTGCACTCAAATATCGCACTCCCGTCCCGGCCCCAACAAAGCTCCTTCTTTTTGCTCATAAGGAGTCTGCACGTGGTCAGCTCGTCCAGTGCAGCAAAACATGGCATGTGCGGCACCAGGCGTTTATGCTGCAGGATGTTGTCTGAACTTGCTTATTCAGGCTGTCAATAGACATGGAAGAGAGTAACAAAAGATCGACGCTTCACAGGGCCCAAGAGCCAAAAGGGCCTGAATTGTCAGAGACTCGGAGGGGGTGCCTTCACGGCCGTTCTGGGAGGCGAGCCTCCCCAAGGATACAGCACACGGGCTCAGACTATCATCGGGCTCTCATACCACGATTCAACTGCGGACCTCAAATGCCAGACAGTTCAGACCCCGCAAGGGGCATTGTCGATCCCATCCCGCTGCCACAAAGAAGTTCAACATCCAAGATTCTTAGGGTTGGCATGGGCGGCGCCCTCCCCTCTATTGCCATGCAGGCACTGATGCGATTTGACACAAGGGAATATTGACATGAGGGAACCCCCAGTAACACCCATCGACACGCGCAGAATACTTCAAACCCATCTGTCACACAATCCGAACATCAACCCTGGCTTGCCCTCGACATCTGCTAAGATGCTGAGCCCCTTGAAGCATTCTTGCGCGACATGGTTTTTCCCTCAACACACGGGATGCTACAGAATCGATCGCAGCATAGGCAGTGGATCTTCCTACCTTTGAGGAGATGAGCTGAAATATTCACAGCATCCTGCCGGGTGTAACATCTGACAGGGATGACGGTTCATTAACACACACTAGGCCACAGCCAAAACCTGGCTGCCAATGGCACATGGCAAATAAAACTCAGGTGAGACGGGATTTTGCAGAGAAGAACAGGAAAAACTCTGCACTTCTTCTGTAAACGCTCACAGCATCAAGGGTACAGGTGAGCATCGACGAACCCTGGGCATTAAGTACACGACTGTCGGCTGTCATTCATGTGACTGTGCCAAGCCGCTAAGCCGTAAACAATTTGCAGACTTCTAAGAGTGCCACGCAAGGCCGCCAATGTTTTCAAGACTTCGGCTTCTTCTCGGCCAGGTCGATGCCTGTATGCTGAACATCTGGGCAGACAAAAACGATCCGCATCGATGCGCAAGCTCAACGCAATCGACATGTCTCCGTGCTAATTGGTCCCGGTGACTCGAATCTCTGCACCGGTCCACGCAACTCCTGTGACCATATTGATTAGCGCATGGAAGGCAGTCGGCCATGGTCTAGGTCACCAATACTTAACGGTAATCCGCGTGCAGCTCTAGCAGCCCAACAAGTTTTTGAATGCCCTCCATGCCCACTGTGGCAATGGTCCTGCGGTGGCAGCATCTGCTCGCTGCTTGGAACTGCCACCTCCAATGCACCAACACACTTGTCAGAAACTTCCAAAACCCTGGTGGCGCAGGATCCTCTTGGATACCTGGCTCGGCACGGTTTGGCCCTTTTGTGGCGGTGCTCCGATTCGCTTCGGTTTTTTCGGCAAGTCTTCAGTTCGAATGCAGTGCTTGCAGGCAAAGGGACGTGAAGTTGCCATGTGAGCTGAAACAACTTAAGATACCCTTCCGGCTGCTGCTGGGCAAGATGGACCTTGTAGCTGTGTGTTGTTTGTAGCTGAGACCAAAGGAATCGTGTTGATCCAACCCTGCACCTTCTGACTATCCGCGACAATGCAAGACCGTCGCAGCGAGGAGGCTTTCTTAAGACAATTCCTGGGCGACTCTGACGATGATTTCGGCCTCATGCAAACAATTCTGCTGCCGCTGCTCTGCCAAGCTATTTGAGGAGAAAGCTCTTGACAAGCCAGGTCCCCTCAATGAAGTTTGCCCTCGTTTGGACTCCCCAGCGTAAGATCGGGGGCTGGGTGGGACCCTCTTTACAGCCCACACGTAGCTGCCTGCGGCTTCGTCCGTCCCATCTGCTCCTTCTCACGGAGCAAGATCTGGTATCGCCCGTCATACTCGGCCTTCTTCGCGGCCAGCTCGTAGGTCAGCTCTTTCACCTCGAAACTCGCATGACGTCACAGACAAGGCCTCTTGCTGTGGCTGAGCTCACCAAGCCTCGCTTGCATTGGCGTCTCTCAGCTCGGCCACCTCCATCAATGTGCGTGGTAAATGAAAGGCAGATCTATATATTTGTAGATATATATATATATATATGCATCATACATCATGTTCAGTTCACGTCCAGCCGACGCCTCAGCCTGCCGGCGTTCGGCATCGGCAGCGGCTTTCCGCATGGAAGCGACCTCTTGCTGAAAGGTGGTGAGCTCCTGCAACTGAAGACCAGATGGCGACAGCATCCGGCACGACTCAGCAACACGGCGCATGAAAAGTTCACAGGAAACGGCTGTTCAGACTTGTAAATAAATCGCCTTGGCGGACTGCAGAACTTTGGCAGTTCCGCCATGCTGCTCCAATTGGCGACGAAGGTCTTGCAACTCGACTTCCTTCACAAACGCCGTGCGATGGCACGCTGGCTGCACTATCGTACGGCTGAAGGCATCGCTTGCAGCATGCCAGCGTTCCTTGTCCAGCAAGGCAGCCTTGTCGCCCAGAGCTGCTTTCAAAGAATCGATTTCCTGCCGGCACCAATCTCGCGAAGGAAGTGGCTGTTGTCAACTTCAGGAGGGACCCAACTGCCGGCCCCCAAATCAGCAAATCAGGAGGTTGGGGGGAAGTCCTGGCGCTGTCGTTCCAGCTTTCCTGTCCGAGAGGTCGAGATCTTTCCGAGAGTCTAACCATCTTCTTCTGTTTGTAGTTTTATGACGTGTTCATTATGTCATTTTATGATATCATTACAACAATCAAGTATATTGCTATATTATTTTCTTGATGATTCTATATTACTATTTTCAGTAGGATTTTACGTTATTGTTCTATCAGGTTACTAGATTCTTATAGTATGTAGTACTACATTGTGATGTCAACGTATCAATGTAGTATGATATGAATATATTCTTAGCACTAAGCCCGAAACAAAACCCGGCCCGAGCCTTCCAGCTCAGCTGGCCTCGGCCCAGGCCCAAGCCTCTCAGCTGTCAAAGTATCTGCCGTTAACCAAAGCGAATAACAGTAGAACTCGAACAGACACAGACACACAGACACAGACACACAGACACAGCAACAGACACAGCCACAGACACAGACACAGCCACAGACACAGACACACACACACACACACACACACACAGACACAGACACAGACACAGACACACACCGCAAACTGCAAGCTCTGTCAGTGTGCCGACCGCTCATAGGAGGCTAACCGAACGCAACGAAAAGAGAGTCTAAAGCAAAAACTTATGATTCGCTTTGACCAGTGGAAAGAACAGGGCAGACGCAGCAGTGCCTTAATCCAGGTATTCTTGCGTACTTTCCGTGCAGCGCTAGAACAACTGCAAAGATGCAACGCGGAGGACGTCAACACTCGCGCTATGACACAAGCCGCGCCTGGTGCTTTCGCTCAGCATCACGGTCGCTTCTTCACCTCTGCTGGCCTGAAATATCATGGCTCATGGCGCGCCCCAGAGAGCGGACAGCTCAGAACATATCAAAGCAAAGCTCATCGTTCAAGTTGCTAGTTTGGCCGTTGTAGCCCCAGCACCAGCACCAACGAAAACAGTGACAGCTGCAACGGCAACAAACAACTGCAAAGGACTTGAACAGCAAGGGATTGAGACTACACCACCTTTCAAGCTCATGGGGCAAAGCGTCTCATCTTGATAAGCAACGCGAATCAGACACTTTAAAGCCTCACGCGAATCGGACACGGTAAAGCCTCAAATTCGGCAAAAAACATATTAAAAAACACGAAACAAGCATCCGAGACCACTGAATCTCGGATACTCACGCTGGTACCCAGTCATCTTAAGCGCAGCTACACATTGTTGCACAAGGCTGCTTGCGCATCGCTCTATTTTGTGCCTGGACCGGCATCGCATGCCCACCTCTTGAACCTGAATTCTCAGGGGCACAATACCAATGCAGCAGCAAGCCATGTCTTGCAGAATCAGGTCCCAAGCCCGCAGAAACATGCTGCGACGACTCACACTCCTTGCGCAGCACGCGCAATTCCTGGCAGCTGCGAAAGAAGATCACAAAAACCCAGTGGAACACACCTGTCACTTGTTGTCTGGCCACCCAACCTGAGCTTCATCATTGAGTTTCGCACGCGCCTCCATCACAGCCTCAGAGGTCACCACAGCGCCAACTTGTGACTCCAAATGCAGGGGACTGAGAGGTCATCAATGTCAACGTGGTCTTGTCCATGAAGAGCCCGCTAGACAATCACAAAAGTTTCAATGGTTCAATCAAGGTTGCCAGGCCCTTTGACCGCTTGCACTATTGTCGGTTGGGCCGCCCAGTTGACTTCGCTCGGCATTACAACGGGAGGAATCTTTGATTTGTGCGGCCTTTGGCGGGGCAAGCTTCACATGGCTGCGTTTCGTGCACAAAACTCGTGATGCTGCGACCTCAATTAAACCAAGGCCAACACAACAAACAACATAACTCCAAAAGGAGGATCAGACGAGAGATGGGCCAAGAGGCACATGCCCCAAGCCCTTCAAGCAGCTACTCTGAACACAGCCATGGCACCTCTTCAGCTTCAGCGCTGCCTCTCCGTGATTGTAAAAAAAGCGTTACATCTTCAATGCTCCCAGGGCTCCCTTAAAGAACATGCTGCTTATCTTGCGCCCACTGGAGCCCAGTCTCAACAGCTCGACCCGCCTTCTTGCACGGACTGCATCTGTTGTAACTCGATGCGAAGCTCGTTGATTTCTTCAGGGAGCCGGAATTGGAGGGAATCCTCTGCAGCACACGCGCAGGACGCCCTCAGCTGCAGCATCAAGACTCTGTTCCAAACCAACTTATGTGAGCTCCTGATCTGTTGGCCACTGAAAATGACCAGCCAGCTCATCAGCCAAGCTGGCATCAGCTGTACCTGTACCTGCGAAGGCAAGACGCAGAAGGGATGCTTCAAAACACCCACTGTTCCGAAATGAACAGAGCGCCTGTGTCGAAATCGAAAGGAGACGGCTCACCATCATCACTGCGAGCACTGAGGATGCCTCAGGTAGTTCAAGCGCGAGAATGCAAGAATCTCGGTCCAGCGATGTGAAAGCTCTGCTCCCTTCTGCCAGCTTCGAAACTGAACCCCAAAATGAAGGAAACCTGCAAACATCAGAGCAAGGTCCAACTCCAGGAACCTCCAGAACATCCCCGAAAGCCTGCTGGAACCAGCGTCAATCCCTCCAGGCCAGGCTGCTGTTGAGCCGCTCTCCCCCAGGCGACGGGGGAGCAAGACCAGGAGAACTCCGGAAGTTTGTTGCCAGGAGCTGGAAACGTGCGGCCTAGGAAGGGGAGGGTTCTAGCTCACTCACATCGACATGACTGCAGCACAGAACCTCCCGACCTCGAGATCCTTCCGCAAGCGCTTGAGGTCCTCAGCAAGCCAGCGCGTGCAGGTAACGCATGTCTGTGCATGACAGCCCGAAAGGCCCCGCTGCAGCCTTCTCGTGGGCCTTCTGAGTTTCTTGAAGCTCGCCCGCGCGGGCGGCTTTCTCCTCCTACCAGTGACGGCCACATCTAGTTGCACGGAACCAGCATGGCTTAAAATGTCGACAATGCTATCTTCTTATCATCATATTTCCATTTTGTCTTGTTTTGTATGATACGTTATGCCCCTTTTCTCTTCTAAAGTATAGTGAAAGCAGCATCGCTTTGTGTCAGACGCTCTGCGGCCTGGAGCTCCTGGTAGAGTCTCTCTTCCTTGGCTGCAGCCTTTCATCCACGCGGGCTTCAACAGGCAAAGGGGTGGGGGGGGGGAATCTTAGGCCCCCCTTGTCCAAAGCTGCCAGCACTTGGAGGATGCCTTCTTGTAGACCTTCCTGGTGTCTTCTTTCCTGAGCTGTGGAGGTCTGTCAAGTGCAGCAGTTTGATCGTGCTTTCTTCGTGCTGCTGAGGCGGCAATGCTGGCCACCTAGAAACACACTGGATGTTCCAAGGGGAGTCTTTCATTCTTCAGTTGCAGCCCCATCCCTCCTTTCTCTCAAAGGCATGCCCCAAAGAACAGTGCTTTCCTCGCCTACCCTGCCCACCCAAAAACGAACAGTAAAGCGCACCGCAAGGTTTACAACTCTGCTACCAGCAAGTTGCGCTTTCTTATTATGGGATTGGGAGGAGGTGGGGAGTGGTCTTTGCACTGGGGCTGAGGGAAATTACCTGGCAGCTTCCCTCCTCTAAACCCAACCCCAAAAACCTAAACCCTAAACCCTAAACCCTGAACCCTTAACCCTAATCCTTTACCCTCACCTCTAAACCCCTCAACCCTAAAAAAAAACCTTAAAATTACTTTGACAATTCAAATTACCTCGATAAGAACCCTGAGAGGCCTTTCGAGACCAGCTGCAGAGCCGCGACTTGCAGCTTCTCGGCCTCGACCTCCTGCTTCAAGTCCTTAGAAGCTGAGGTCTTCGTTAAACCACCCACCCATCCCCAACACAAATGTGTGTTTATGCATGTATACATAGATATATGCCATGCAGATAATATTATATACATACATATTCCTGTATGTATTCATCTTTGTATATGATAATATGATATGTATAATATTTATATATATATATGTATAGAAGGAACGTTTGAAGACGGGAATGATGAGCAAGTAGCAAACAGTAAGTAAGAAGTAACTCATAGCGCTAGAAGTAATCGTCGTCGTCCGAACAGGCTGACCGGCTGCCGAGGTTTGGGTTTCGAGGGCGATCAGAAGCTCAAAATGCAGCTTTTTGGGGCCCTGGCTTCGGTCACCTTTTCCAAGTGGATCTCCCGCGCTTTGTGCTGAACCTCGTCTGCGTGGGAGCGTGTGGGTGTGGGCAGTCTCCCCTCAGTCTGCCAAGGCACCTGGAGTCCAACTTTCAGCCCACCTCTTCAAAGTCTACACCCGTGGGAGATGTGACAAGGAGGAGCACCGGACATGCCGGAATCATTCTTCAAAAGCATCAAGAGGGCCTGCTGGAAGGCTGCTGGTGTTGCTGGCCGGCTTGGCCATCTCCACTTCTCGAAGCTTCTCTTCCAACTCGCGCTTCGCTCGCTCTGCGCGAGAAGCCTGCGCGTGGCAAGCTGAGGTCAAAGGAAGTCTGGGAAAGCCAACTGAACCTGCTCTTTGAGTTGCGCGTTCTCTCGCATAAACTCATCCAGGTCTTCGTCAAACTGTGCGGCCATGGCTTTCTTCCTGCAAGAGCTTCGTTCCGAACAGGATCCCTCGGCACATGCTGCACATGCTGCAGTTGGGTCATGTTGGGTCCTCAAAACTCCGGGGATGCCACCTTCACTGCTGGTTGCGCTGGCCCGCTTCCTGAGGCTCCGATGGCTGTCTTCGGCTCCTCAGAAGACGGCGCGACAAGTCGCTGAGCTCCCGCAAAAAACAACACCTCACATAAGTGGTGTAACTTCAGGATTGCCATGCAGCACAGATGCTCCAGTCGAAACTTGCAGCACTTGCTGGCGACAAGGTCTTCAGTTCCAAGAGCTCACGCTCCAGCTCTGCATTTCGGCGCTTCAGCTCATTGGCCCTAGGCTGGCACTCAAAAGTGCGCTTTGAAAGCCATTTGAGAGTCATTGGAGAGTCATTGAGCGACTCTTCAAAATGAAGCCGATCCTGCTAGGCCACAGCATGCTGCCAAGGATCTGCTTGCACTCCTCCACCCCCAAAAAGGCGGACTCGTGCAGCTCCTCCTCGACATGGCCATTTCGTGCTTTTGATTTTGCGGATTTTTGCAAGGTTTCAGCATCTTTCAAATCTAGCGAAAGGGCATCTGCAACCCTCGCAAAAAAGAAGATGTTGACCGTCCTTCAGTTCCGCGATGGTCTCTTCAAAGTGCATTTGTTAGCACCCGTGAATCGCCAAGGTTCGCGCATGGATTCCCTGACATGCCTCTCCCGGCTGCCCATCCGAGTCCGTGGCCCTACATCTACGTATGCATGACATGCTGCGTGGTGGACGAAATGGCTCCTCTGAGTGTTGCATATCGCTTGATACAGTCTGAAGGCTCAGCTGCTTGCATATGTCAATGCAATCCTTAGGCTGAAGCTCTGCTGGGCCGTCGTTGTAGTAGCTTGCATCTTGCAACAGGCAATGAAGCCACTGAGCTTCCTATACAGTCGCTTTGGCTTGCGCGTGCGGTGACAACAAAGTCAGATCGTGTATCCCATGTCGCTGTCCTCAATGCTGCATCTGCCCCCGTGCTCAAGACAGCGTGCTACTCCATGTGTGCCACTTAGTCACTGGCTCTTTCAGCTGATGGGCACTCAAACACGTCAAGCGGCTCAGCAGCTTCCTAGCAAGTCATCTTGGGATCTTCCGATCCCACACCGCGATCCACCCAGAGGATATTGCAGGGGTCATAGGTGCTCTTCACCCTGTGGAGAAAATCGTAGTTCTCAGAACCCCAGAATCGCTGCCTCCAGTCGTTTATTTCGTGAAGGCCGCTCCAATGGGTGACCTCGTTGTAGTAAGACATGTCAGATCCTAGCCTCAACTTGTACAGCTGCTCCACAACGGGCATGATTTGCTGGATCTGCCTTGGACTGGTGAGCCGAGCTATGCAAATCGCCTTTCAGCCTCCTGCGAGCCTTAGGGAGAGCGCATAGCATGGTGCCATCATGTGCCATCTAATTCGCCAAGCTGCTGGTCGTTGTTCGAGCCCGGCCATTCTTTACCAACACAGATCTCAAAGATGGCACTGCGGAAGCCGGAAGATATTACTGTCTCCTGTTTGAGCCAGGGGTGCATGAACCACTAGCCGCTATCCCTGAACTGGCATCTATGCCCGCAGCGCTTTCATCCAGTGGGCTACCAGGCTATTGGATCCCGATGCAAGTGCTTCGCCTGAAACTGTTGTCATGCCCACTACACCAACAAGCTTGCTGAAAGGGCTCCGGCCCATACGTAGGAATTTGGCCACCAAGGACATCGTTGTACGTCCAGTGTATCACCTGTCGGACTCCACGAGCTTTACTTTGTATGAATTCAGTTCTGGTTGACACATCACTGGACTCTGTCCGTCGCGAGCCTCCTTTCGATCGAGAGCATCCAATGCAGAGTTGATAACCAAGTCTGTTAGATTGCTTGCTTTGTCCTGCCAAAGGTGTTCGGTCAAAGAAACCGCGCGCACAAAGCTTCAACATGCTTGAACAAGAAATGAGGGAACAGCAAACCCAGGGCTGGTCATGGCTGGTCATAGCTGGTCCTGCAAGTCGGTGAGCGAAACAAAAGTGTTCGATATGAACGAGTTCTTCAGCTTGGTGGCTTCCACTCGCCGCGGCAAGTACGCCCTTTGCTGCGAAACCATGCTTTAGAACAGAGGGCGGCCGTGAACGAAGTAGAAAAACTCAACTGGCCATAACCAGCAAGAGACTGGATCTGCATGTGCAAGCTTGCCGCGACAGGCCAGGATCCCACGAAGTGGAAGTATTCGGACATTGCTGCTGGGCATCCGCTGGAGAGGCATGCCTGCCAGGGACTCTCCAGGCAGCTCAGAAAGATCTGCCGTCCACGCAAGAGCGCACCCCTCCGCCTCGTCGGGGTCTTGCCCCCAGTGGAAGAGCCACGCCGCAAGACTGCCGCTCCACTTCTCACCATCATGATCTGTGTTCACCTTGCCAGCTCCATAAAATGCTGGCTCTGACACAAGACACACTGGAGCACTGGAGCCCACAGCGACAAGATCCCACAAGCTCACGTTGCCTCATGCCACCCCGCCCAGGAGTCAGGAACCAGTGCCCACCAGCTCGCGTTGTGAAAAAAGCGCTCGGTCACATCCCGCGCGCTCGGTGTGCTGCCGTTGCTGCGCAAAGGCAGTGCGATCGACGACCTAAACAACCAAGTTGAGTCTTCGGCTTCAGGGGCCTTATTGGCTTTACCAAACAGTCGACTCTAGCCTTTGGCCCTCAAGTGAGACATCGTGAGGAACCCGACTTAACTTCTAACAAACTCCAACAACTCCATGAAAAAGCTGAGCAGAAAAAGAAAAGGGACACGGCATAGCTCTTGGGAAAGGGATGAATCCGGATGGTGAACTCCACTACCGCGCCGTACGTGCCACCCCCACCCCCACGCAGTGCCCGAAAAAGATCTGCATGTGGACCATGCGCATCCGCCACAACGACTCCTCGCAATCAAGAGACAGGCAGTCACGGATCCCCCTGTCTCTCTCATCATGAGCACAAGACAAGACGTTGCAACACATCTCACACCGGAGTTCAACTCAGAGTGGACCTACACCAGTCGTCTCTCAGAATGTTTCAGCAGCTCGATGGGAGAACAACAAAAAGGGTCCTGAACCGTTTGAGAGAGCCACCCGTGCAGCAAGCAGCTGGTCGGCTATCAGTCCATGCTGCCTTCGTACTAGTCGGGGACCCAACAGACAGAAAAGGCGGCAGACAGGGATCATCATCTTTTAACAAGCTCCAAGCTGCCTTGAAAGCCCACCGTGGCCTCCACCCTGCAAAGATCCTCCGATTGAAACTGTGCCCAGCGCCCCGCCCACGCCGATGTGCCCCAATGGTTCCAGCTCCTGCCACATGTGACAACTTCGAGCTACCGAGCACTACCGCCTGGGTAAACCTCCAGCAACAACTTTCGGCATGCTTCCGGCGAGTGCTTCCGAGTGCATTCAAGTGCTTCTGGTTTTTGGCTCCTTCCAGATGTGTCCCCAAGTGCATCCCGCACCGACTCGTGCCCGATCGCCATCAACGTGCACCCAACAAAGTCTCGGCGTGGCGATGCGCACAGCCCCAGCACCCGATGATCGACCATTCCAATCATGCCCAGTTGCCACCAGCACAGGGCGCAAGCGACGCAGGTAGCAAAAGCGCAGAACCTCGAGCACGTCCTCGGCACATTTTCCCACACTTTGACTGGAAGCTGCTCCTCTTACGGTAGTTATATATAGCTCTTGCATATCCATAAGCACAATGCTTGCTTACAGAGACAGCGGCATTCTCTTCTGCGACGTAAACTAACAGGGAAGGAGTTTGCTTCACCAGCGGCTGAAGTAACAGCTGCTGGTTTGCCTCATCCAGAGCTGACGCATCCTTTGAATGGATGACCGTCGCATTCTGGGACAATCGTTGTCTCAAGGCCACGGCTTCCTCCTCTGCGACCATGGCACTTGCAGAGTCACCAGGATCAAAGACGGAGCGCTCGGAGAAGTCCACTTGCATCAGCGAGCCGCTTCTCGCCGAACATGCAGGTCGGGCGGCATCTGCAACGTTCACGCAAGCCGCCAGAGTCAGCAGAAGCAACGGCCGAAATGAACAAAGCAGCTCCATCTGTGGCAACTTCTGAATGTATGGGTAAGGTGAGCCAAAAGCTGCCATTTAAGGACCGGACGTGATTTTTCCAAGCAGTCCATCTCTAACTCTCAAAAATCCTTCACGATTCATCCGAGCTGCTGCTCGCAGCCATCAAGAGCTGAGACTTGAACACTGTGATAAGACTAGCTCAGTCATTTAATGGCAGAGCGACAAAGAATCCCTCACAAACACAGTATCTTGCTGCTCATGGCCACGTCAGATGGACACAACGACGCCAAAAATGTGTGCTTCTGTTTCTGGCAGGTGTTACTAGTCTCTCCTGATTCGCAGGATTCCTTCTTGCTGAACCTTACCCTAAACTACCCAGCACAGCAGTCTCCGTTCCCAACGCAAACTTGACGCTGGCCTTCCTTTGACAAGCAACCCAAAAGAGGCCGGAGAAACTTTCAGCGCGCTGAAGCATCCCCGACATGCTGCCATCGCAGCGACTAGGAAACCTTCCATTTTGCGTGCCACTACTTTGAAGCCCTGAACCGAGAACACTTTGAGGGTCAAGACACGAACGCTACTTTCTTTCATGCTGTTTCTCATGTGAACCGCAGGTGAGGTCCAGCGAACGCACGCAACATCGCATGCTCCGACCCTCCTTGGCGATCACTTTGTGAGCTTCGCAGCTGATCTCAAAGATGCCACGTGCGCATGTTCAACCCGGTTTGAGCTGCCTTCGAGATTCTGTATCATTGCTTCCCTCCTTCATTCCACGCGTTCACTGGCTTGTCAGGTTTCTTGCTCGCGTCGTGGCTCGTTGCATGCCCCTCCAGACCTTCCAGAGCCTCTCGAGATCCGGCTTGTGGCCCGCTCATACAATCGCTCACACAATCACCTCAGCTTCGGAGGATTCGCCTGGCAGGACCACACAAGACTCGACCTTGTTCGTGTACACCGTCTGTGTGTTCTGCCAGAAAAGGCCCAAGAAGTGACCCGGCTCAAGGTGTGGCAAGTGCACAGCTGCATCGTACTTGCACCCTGGCTGCAAGTGAGAGGCATCGAAATAGAAGCCCAGGAAGCAGTGCTCCAGCTCACGGCCGCGGCTGTTGTAGCTCTTCGACAGCTGCACTTCCCGGCCGTTCAAGAACAAGCGCACCGTCATGTCTTGCTTTGCCTGAGGGCAGGGCATCTGCCAAATCTTACCATGAGACAGTGGCGGCTTAAAGAAGCACAGAAGCAAAGAAGCAAGTAGCCTTCAGGATGAAAGGCGCCATGAGCAAGCGCGTCGGCACAAGCCAGGCTGCCCTGCTGTCGTCAACACAGTGCGACTGGCCACAGCCGGTTGCACTGGTCGTCCATGGAATCGGGTACGAGCTTGCCAGGGCCTTCAGCTGCTCAAAATAAGCCGGCGGGATGGAGAAGGTGCCATTGTACCAGCCGCCGGCGAAGTCCTTGGAGGGTAAAGGTAGGACTGGCGCATTGCCCAGGAGTTCAGGCCCCGAAAACTGGATGCTCACCTTCGCATGGCCGCTGGACTTCACGTCGTTCTGGCAAGTGCGACCGTTTACCTTGAGTCGACCAGCATTGTGTACATCAGGTATGTGAACTCGAGCAACGACCTCGCGGCCAGATGGGCCCGCAGCTTCCGAAAGCGTCCAGGGCCCTGCGAAGCGACCCCTGGAACCCAGCAGCCGCGGAAGCGGAGCAGGCGGAGCATGCGGAGCATGCGGAGCATGCGGAGCGGGGCGTCTCTTCGTAAACTCCAGCACCCGGACCGAGCTGCCTTCCACGGGAATCACGACGGACTCTTGAAACTGAAGGGTGCCCATAGGGCCCCGATAAGGGAAGAGCTCCGTCACTTCCCACTGCTGATCTTCTGCGGCATTCAACAAGCCGATGGCCTCGTCGACTGACAAGGTGGCATTGAGCTCCATGGGATTCGGGTTGTACAAAAACACGAAGCCTTCGTCCTCCTCCATCGCATGCGTTCCGTCGATGTTGCCTGCACTAGGCCCAGGCAAGATCGGGATCCACTCCGTGTTGCGCAGCTTCCCCATGTTCCTGTCTGTCCATGCCAGCCAGTCATGGATGAAGGCACGGTCGCTCTCAGGAAAATGATCAAACTCTGCTGGGTCACGAGCAGGGACCATGGTGAACACATTGTTCAGCCCGGCTGTGCCGATGGTACTCAGCAATGAGTACTTGTAACCAAGGTAGTCGAAATCTCTGGAATTGCTATTGTTCACGCACAGCTTCTCCTCTCGGGTACAGTAGAAGTGCCCGTCATCATCAGTGCGCTCCGACTGATGAAAGATGAAGCCAGGCACACGCGAACTGGGTAGTAGCTGCAAGGTGGAATAAATGTAGTTGACAGAGCGTGTCTGGTCAGCGCTGATATGGTCCGTGTGCAAGGTGGGAGTGAAGCCACCGTAAGACTCTGGATTCTCGTCCCCAGCAATGGGCTCAGCATAGCTCCCGGAAAGATCATACCAGGGACCCCACATATGGTTGGTCTGCCGATGATCCATGACAATATTGGGGAAACGCTCCCGCAATGTCCGAAGGATTCGGGCAAAGCCACGCCACTGTGCGTACTGCAGAGACTTGTCTCCAGCAAAGATGCCATGATCCCAAGCGAAACCAGCACCTCCACTCTTTTTCAAGAAAGCAGTCATGACCTCAATGAAATACTCCTGCACTTTCGCCGGCGCCAACGAAAGTGCATTGGTGCCTCCGGCCACAAAGTACTTCCGCAAGGCCTCGAACTGCATCGTCGGGTAAGCATATGCCATGAGGCCGATGTTTTTGCTCCTTGCCGATGCCACTGCATCAAGGATGTCCTGGGGCATCGGATCGTTCCGTGGATCCCATCGCCCGCTGCGGAGCTGTTCTCCCATGGAGAACCACAAGCTCCCTTCCCAGCCCCAGTCATCCGTGGCATTGAAGCGGGACGAGTGCAAGGAGTTGCGAGGTTCGTAGACAATGTGGCTGATACCGAGCTCTGCGTTGCGGTCGAAAATTCGCGAGTATTCCGCACGGCCCTCTTCCGTGCCCACATCAATTTGGTAGTCATTCTCGTCCCAGGCCACATTCACCTTCACCGTCCCGGCCACGCGCGACGCCCGATCAAGTTGGCATTCCTCGACTGCTCTCTTGAATGCACGTGCCTCACCTGCTGAAAGGCCGGCAATTGAATATTTTGTCAAAGTGGTCAAGCCAATGACTAGCGGTTCTGTGACGAATGTGGAGCCTTGCAGGGACACCTCGTGGGTCACCGATCCTTGTTCCAAGCTACAAGGACTGCATAAATGAGCCATTTGCGAGATGTAGCACGGCTCAGGATCCGAACAACAAGACTAACACAAAAGAAGAACAACCATGTGTTTGCACTTAAGTTCAGCTCGCCTGTGTCTCGGCCCTTGGGGCATTGAGAGGTATCCTCAGGTCCAGTCTCCTCTGATTGCCTTGTGGGTCTAGGCTCCCTCCCGATGCTGCTTCGACCATTTTTTGAAGGGCTTGGGGCTCGTGGCCTCTTGAACCCGAAGCCCTCGGGGCCCTTAACCTTGGGCCAAACCTCCTTCCGCTTCCGCTTTCCTTGCACATCGCCCTCATGGCAGTTTTCATGCCTTCTGTCTCCCGGGGGGGAGCCCAAACAACACTCCTGGGGGGTACATGGCCACGTGGCCGGGGTCGATGTTTCGTTTCGTGCATTGCTCGCAACTGCGAGCATTCATGTGACTCAAGTCTCCAGAAACCGCGGAGGCCGAGGTCCACAGCATGTACAGCTGGGGTTCGAGAGCTTCTGCAACCCAGCGTCCTGCATAAGATGCCGTGATGGCCGCACAGGGCGAGCTCCCATCCGAGCAAGTTGTGGCAACTGCCTCCTGATGTCCCCAGGGGTTCCTAAGCTCGTGAGCTTTTGCAATCTGCACAGGTGAGAGTAGAGTACTTTAAACCCATCCCTCGAACCTGTAGAGAAACAAGTGCAAGGTCGTTGTCGAACCCAGGTTCCCCACAGAAACAAACATCCCACTTCTCGCACTGCTCCATCGTAGGAACCCCGCAATCTCCAGCCCTTGGTTCCACGCATTGGTACGAAGGAGCCAGGTCGGGGCGTCCTGTGCGGTGTCAAAGTGGGCAAGCGTCTCCTTCATGAACGTAGCTGCGTTGAACTGGATCGTGCCATCCGTGCTCAAGTCAGAAGGAGACACAGAGAGATGCTTCTGAAGGTGCTGCGCACCTGGTGGAAGTGTGTAAGACACTTCAACCTGGCAGCTGTCACAGTGAAGTCCAACTCCCATACATCATTGCTAGCTTAGGTTTTGGCTCGGAACTACACAACAATAGGCCTGCTTTTCAAGCCTACACTACCCACCTGAAGGTCAGCGCACGGATACGTGAAAGCGACTTTGTAGCTTTCCTGCTTCACGGTGTGCGCACCACAACCGCTTGTCGCCGAGAGAGTGCGATTGTTCACCTGAACAAAACATCTCAGAGTGTGCATCTTCATAACGATCTTTAAGAATTTTTAAGCATAAGCTATTAGCAGGAATACCTTTGCACCTGTTGAGGAAACCCGACTTTGTGGGCAGGCCTGCAACTCCCAGCGATCGCCCGAGAATTTCACGCGGCCCAAAGCTTGGCCGAAAGGGCCGAAAGCTACGAGACCCGTCTTCGCGTCCACATCAGCAGCGACGATGCCGTTTTGGAAGTGCAACAGATGCCCAGCTACGCAGGCGAGGGAAGACACCGCGAGAAGGCATGGCATATACATCAGCACAATCGGACAGATTGGTCAACCTAACTCGTCTTGAGCGGTCCACCATTCATACGCTCGGCCAAGCAAAAGTTTAACCAAAAAGGGCCTGCTTTTCATGCCTGTCAACAGCCCCCTAAGAAGATATCCTTGTAGGCAAAGTCCCGAAAACGAGCCGAGTTTGGGAACATCAGCACAGCGACTGCTCATCGACAACATGATAGCGACGACCCGCAATCCGGAAGGGCAAGTGGGGGCAGATCCCTCTAAACAAATCCACACACACCTCTCTCACCCCACTGTGTTCTGGGGAGAGGCTCTGAAGATGAATCACCGACTCACCCTCGCGGCCGTCTTTCCGTCGCTCCACTTCGGGACCGCCTATGTGTGCAATCCCTTGGCACATCTTTGGTGTTCCAAGGGAAGCTCCTCTGCATCTACCATCTGCCTAGTTTTCAGGCAGCGCAGACCCTGCCTAGATCACATACCCCCACTCTACGGCTCCGAATGGATTCGGAGCCTTTCACTTCAACGAAGCTGACTGACGGCAATCTGCCAGCTGGCTCACCCATCCTGAAAGCAAACGCACTCCTACAAATAGGGTGAGTCGGATGGAGCAGGAATGGTAGGGATTCTGCGAAAAATCTAGATGCTAACACAAACGGGGACACAAAGCCGATGCCAGGAGCTCCAAGTCTAGGGAGTCGAGGGAGCACCCTATGCCGAAACTCTGCGCATCGTCTCCCTACACTGCATGGACCTCCTCGGGTTCCGTGTGCAATCTTGCGCGCAGCTCATCCATGTCAACGTTCTCCATGCCAGACCTGGCAGAGCGCGGCCCGGCAGCATTGGTTTTCCTCTCTGAGCCTGAAGTCTCACACGGAACGCTGCACGGATACCGCGACCCCACGCCACATCCGCTTTCCTGACTTGAAATGCGCCCCAAACCCTTTCAACCCTTGCGACACGAAATCTCATCGAAACTTTGCTTAGGGGCCCCTTCGCCAGGTCCAGAAGCTGCTCCACGCCATTCAGCATCTCAGCCTGCACTCGAATAAGAGAACATTCGGAAAGTCGCCCACCCAAACTAACAAAATGAAGTCCAACTCTGCCTCCGAGACGTCGTCGCTGCCATCGGCGTCCAGGACGTCGAAGAGGTCTTCAACCACATCGCAGTCCAGGCCCAGTGACTCCAACTTCGCCTGCAACGGAAGTACACTCTCTCTGCACAGAACTCAGTGGAGACGTCCCCCATCAGCCGTGTTGAACGTGGTATGGAAACATGGCCCGAGTCTTGTGCCTGCGTGCTCGGGGACTGCAAGGCCACACGGAATTCCTGCACGAGTCGAAAAGTACTTGGGCATTGGGGGGTGGATCCAAATCATGTGACCCTTCTTGCTATCCCAAACCACCAGACATCGCATAGCTTGGATCAGACCCCATCTCAAAAGGCTCGTCAGGATACCAGCCTTGGGCACACCACTTTGGGACTTTGGGACCTTCGGCTGTCCTCCCGGCTGAGCGTGCCACATTGGTCCGTGTCGGCCTCAACGGGGATTGTTTGCAGAGTCTTTAATATGTATAGAACAACGTGTAAAGCCTCGACTGTAGGCAGCATCTGTCGCTGCTGGAGGATTTCAACTGATACTTGCGCTCCTCTAAACATAGCCTGAGGACATACGCTGAAGCACTTTTGCCATGTTTGCGCATCCATGCTCACATTACCTACCACTTGAGTCGAAAACGGAGGCTTGGCAGTGGGAGCTCTACCAAAACGCTGAGCCTTGTCCGGATGACCGACACTGAAGCCCCAACAAAGTTGCACCGATAGTCTAAGCCCTGAGCCCCTCCCCCCTTCACCCTCCACCCTCCCCCCCGCACCTGCTCAAAGATCTGCTTGATGAGGATCCTCCAGCGTGGAACCGGCTTTGGCTTGCGGAGGCCTCGGCAAAGTGGCGGCTCTGGGCTTGGGGTCCAGGGCTCACACTGAAGGTGCTGCGCCACGTCCGTATTACTCGATTTGTTCGGAGTTCAAGGAGAGGTCTCAAATTTCAAAGCTGGTGGATTGGAGGGCAACGTCAGGGCTTTTCCAAGTTCTCCTTCAGCATCAGAGGTCCAGACGTAGCACCTTTTGAGTGAAGTCGTTGGCACCTCTGGAGTGACGGGCTGCAAAAGCACACGGTTCAAGATGCCGAACCGACATCGTGTCCATAGCCAGTCTCGCAAGTGGACCGGATGATCTGCCATGGCACTATGAAGCGTCTCGTCCTGGCGCATCGACTTGATCACTCCCATGAAGGTCCTTTTCGCCTGGCCGTCGGCATGTCTTTCTACCACTGTGTGACATGGGCAACTTTAAAGAAAGAGTAAGGCGTCACGATCATGAGCCCCAAGAGCATGTTCCAAACTGCTACAGGCTCGGCGTCAGAAAGGTTTCTGGAATGATGTAGGGACGAGAGGGCGGCCAACCAGGGCTTAGAGCGGCATGGGAAAAGTCTGACCCAACCCTAAACCCCAAGCCCAATGGACCGGTCAGAAGCTCAGCGGCGGGGGCAATGCTCTTCCCGGCTTCTCCTCAACGGCTCTCCCTCTCGGAGTTGAGAGTCTGTGCCTCAAGCACGTCCACCTGCGAGGATGCTTCGTCAAACCTGGGCCAGGAAAGCAAAACATTTCCTCAGATGTAGAGTACCAAAGTCACCAGAATCACCAGATGCCACCAGGCGACATTTGCTGGAGGGCAGCTTCCAGCTTGTCGCAGTTGCGAGTGCCCTTGGGCACCTTCAAATAAGGACACGCGGAGGTGAATCACAGAACCAGCTGCAAATGCCGCAGAAGATCTACAGATGTCCAAACTCGGAAAAAATGAGAGGGAAGGATCCGCTGCCTCGAGGGAGTCGATGGCAACATCTATCAGATCCTTGATGTCTACACCGACCTTCAGATGCGACCCGAATGCACCTCATGACCTCTCATGGCCTCTCGTGGCCGGGCGTGCTGTGGGTGACTTGTATCTTGGCATCGGGGTGCTGCGGGTTCGAGACACGCCGTCACGCACAGAAGAAAAGAGAGAGCCGCTCACCCCTGAGGAATGCCTCTCCACCTCGCACAAAGTGTGAAGCCTGCAAAGCCCCTGTGAAGCACAAGCGCCCCGCTCGCATGAGCTTCCGTTGCGTCGTGGACTTGCTGAGGAAGTCGATCAGCATCACAGCCGTGAACTTAGGCAAGCCAACGAATGTTGACTCGGTGCTAATTATTGGGCCTTTAGGGGCTTTCTCCTTTGCTATGCCGTAATTGCCACGCGGTGATCGCATCTGCTGCGCTGCGCATAAAACAGTCCATAGAAACCTCCCCCCAGGCCCAAGTAAAACCCCGCACCCTAACAAAATAAGACAAAGAAAACAAGAAACAACATCGCTGGGTTTGAGACATGCCCAGAACCTTCCTCGTTGCCCAACTCCTGCCACAGGAGTTCTTTATTGCGGGACACTTTCTCGGAGAGTTTGTCCATGTGTTTTCTGCTGTGGACCCCTCACCCTTCAGATCCTTGCGCAGGAAGGCCCGAACACGAGGCTCGTTTTGCTCCACCTGCAGGGCACTCAGAGGGTAGGGAGACGGTAGTCTCTTCATTGTAGACATTGCTTCAGTTGCGTGGAAGGACGCCTTCAACATAGCGCCCAGTCCATGGAGCACCTGGCATCCCACAAAGGAGTTCTGACTCTGCGTGAACTTGGCTCACTTCCACCCCACTAACTCTCGGTACAAACTCAACTCGTATCAAGCATTCGCTCCCCATCTCTGCAGACACATCTTTGTGTTCCGTCCTACCTGAAGACCTGAGGGAGCATCAGAATGGTTTTGGCATACTTGGCAGAGGTGTTGTGCTGTTGCGATGATTCCTCTTTGGCAGAAGCTTCCGACTTGGACTCGTTGCTCCACCACCGTGTATGAGAAAGCTGCGCTGCTCTGCCCGCTCGATAGGCAAGTCAGTTTTGGAACCCGATACTGATCAGGATGCCAGAAAAGCCTGCTCGTCAAGTGGGCATGTACCGACTTTGTTGTAGATGGCGCCGGCTCTGTAGATCAGCTTCTTGATCAGGTAACATGCGCTAAACCCTGATACTCAGCCTGCAAGAGTTTGTCTAGCCCGATCTTCATCAACCTAGTCTCGCTTTTCGATTCGATGTGCGGCAATCCATCAACTCACTCTCATTGCTTACTCTCCGAAACACGAGACTTGTCGCGGCTCTCCGGAGTTTATGACCCAGTCACCAATCCACAGGACAGGACAAGCACCAGACTTCACCAAACTTCTTAGAAATCCTGCACCTTCTAGCTTGGCACAGAGCACTGCGTCAGATCGGTTGTACGCAGGCATCCGAGGCCTCCTTGAAACTCAGTTCACCGCTGCCGTCCTCGTCCAACCTGAAGTTGGCCGAGCTGGTCTCTTGTGTTTGTGGGAATGCTTTGGAATGCCTGAGGTGCTGGAACCCCTCACATCAATGAATCTCAGATTCGCGGCCCAAGGCTCTTGACTACTGCAACTTTCATCGTTGCTTCTTCTTGCGATCCTTGCAGCCCAGCAGCATGCCGAAGACCTGCAGCAGATGGTCCGAAGGCGCGCAACATGCACGTTCCGCAAGTCAAACCCTGAACCACCCACATCCCCAAAACCTTTCGGAACGACGCTGAGCCATGACTACAAGATGAAGCTCGAGTTAGCGCTGCGATCCCCCTGCTCAAAGACCTTCGAGATCAAGCCTTGAGCACCCTCCTAACTCTTGCAGCGATGATTGGAAGAGCCCTGGCCCAGCCCCTACCAAACTTTCGCCTTGAGGATTTCGTCGATCTTGAAGTCTTTGCCCATGAGCAGCTCCCGCGTCCGAGGGTCCTTGTGAGGAAAGGTCGGACCCAGCAGACCAAGAGCTGCCCCCGAAGAGCAATCAGCACAACTGCCAACTCCATCCAAACCAATACAACTTCAATCCCTCACAAGAATGCACCAGCAGCAACGCCTCAAAAGTTCGTTCGTCAACACCCTGGCATGGCAGGAAACAAAGGTTCCCGTTTCTGAAAACCGTTGCGACGGTGAGAAACTACCGACTGGGGGGGGGGGGGGGGGGGGCGAACCTATCGGATTCCTTCCAGCAAAACCCACATGCCATCGCTTCTCCCGCGCACGATCGACCGCACAGCCGCACAGCTTTGTCCATCCTTGCCCACCTTCTTGAACGAATGAGTTGAGGGTACTATAAAGGCCGCAGAGCTAAGAGCACATCGATTGTCCAGCGAATTATTCGTATGATCGCAGCTGTCGACGATTGACTCCAACTCCACTCTCCTTCCCCCGAACAAGAGCAATGGAATGAAGGAGATTCAACGGCCTTGATCCTCCAGGGACCGACAACCCAGGCCCTAGCAAAAAGCTGACAGTCAGCTCAGGATGCTCAGAAAAGTTCGCGACCATGGCACCGATCATGTACGAACAAACGAAGCCCTACCAAAAAACTACTGCTGGTGGGTGAACTAGCAAGGGCCGATTCTGGATTCTCAAGATTCCACACTGAGGCCCCGGGCACGCAGTGCTCGAGAGAACTCCCGTACTGTGAGGGCGTTACTGTCGTCCTGCACCGGACTTCCGCCGACTCACGGTCCGGTACTTGCAGGGACATGTAAGGATGAGGATGAGGACGATGGGGATGATGAGGATGATGAGGGCAACGATGATCCTTCCATGCCCTCATTTCTGTCTGCCCCAAAGCCTGTCTGTGCCCTCCACGGGAGATCACTTCGTGTTTATAGGCAGCCTTGGAGGCATCGTTGTCATCGCGACTCTCAAACTCAAAGGTTGCGTGAGTTCCTTCAGAAATGTGCAACTGTGCAGCATGTGTGAGTATGTGTGTGTGCGCACGCACATGTGTGTGCGTGTGTGTGCGCGCATCTGTCTGTCTGTCTGTCTGTCTGTCTGTCTGTCTGTCTGTCTGTCTGTTTGTCTGTCTGTCTGTCTGTCTGTCTGTCTGGTCTGTTGGTCTGTCTGTCTGGTCTGTTGGTCTGTCTGTCTGGTCTGGTCTGTCTGGTCTGGTCTGTCTGTCTGTCTGTCTGTCTGTCTGTCTGTCTGTCTGTGTGTGTGTGTGTGTGCATGTGCGTGCGTGCGTGCGTGCGGGTGTGGGTGTGGGTGTGGGTGTGGGTGTGGGTGTGGGTGTGGGTGTGGGTGTGGGTGTGGGTGTGGGTGTGGGTGTGTGTGTGGGTGTGTGTGTGGGTGTGGGTGTGTGTGTGTGTGTGTG